TATTATTGTTTTTATTATTATTATTATTCTTATTATTATTATTATTATTATTAGCATTATTATTATCAATATTATTTTTTTTTATAAATTCCCCCCTTCTGTTTCCAGCCATCTTGGATTTGGATAAGGATGAACAGGATCGTATCCAGGGTGTACATGATCAGAGTTTTCCTGTACATGTGACTGTACATTCCTGTACTGTGATTCATGAACACTTCTGAAAACAAAACAAAAAATGTTATAGCATTTCTATGAAAACGATCTTTCACATTATATTTACCTATAGTTTTGCTGTGCATAGTGCTGTGTGTAGGATGCAGGACTACCCATTCTTCTTAAAATATTTGAAATTATCAGGAATCTGTAAAATTCTGAATAAATGTACAACTGTAAAACTGTACAATTGTACAACTGTATAACTGTACAACTGTATAACTTTACAACTGCACAACTATACAAACTTAACGCATGTACCTGTAAGGATACACATGTTCATGTAAATTTCCTCTGTACACTGAATTCAGCTCACCAAACTCACTAATAACATAAAATATGGAAAGATAAAAATGGGATGAGCTGAACATTTTTGAAATAATTCCCTTAATCCCCAGTTGCTAAATCTTGATATCCACTGTGGGCGCTTTTTATTTTATTTTAATATCCCTGCTAGGTTCCTGCAGATTAATTAAATTGATCTGCAGATTTATAAAAAGAGATGCAGTAAACGCCTGACAATGTAGTTCAGGCTAGATGCATCTGTATAAACTAAAAAAGGGGGGGGGGCGGGTTCTTCAGGATATGCTTTCCGTTGCTCTATAATCTTCACTAAAGCCAGTAGTTCTCCGTTCATCGATGGATAATGTTTCTCACATCAGTTACACTTCCTACCCCAGCAACCAATAAAACGCTCTACTCCGTCCTGTTTTTGTGACAGTATACCACCAATATTCAAAGCAGACCAGTCCGTGGTGATTATAAAAGGCTTTCTGGAGTTAAAGTCTGTAAATGCCTGGATCTTTCCTGCTGTGAATTAACTCTGCTTTCAACTCCTTAAAATCCTTCTCCATGTCTTCTGACCACTCGAATTTTACCCCCTTCTTCATCCCATCCATGCAGTTTGTCAAAGCTGAGTACCTCGGAATATAATATCCTGCGAGTCCAAGAAATGAATACATCTCCTTGCATCTTTGGTACTCCCTCTATACTCACCTTAAGTCCTAGATACTCTACTTCTGACTGAAAAATCTTAGTCTTTTTTGGCTGTATCTTGATCCCTACTTGAGTATGAGCTTGTACTACCTTCCTCTGGTGTTCCAGGGTTCCCCACGGATCCGTTGAATACACTAGTATGTCCTCCAGGTAACTCAACAAGTACTCTGCAGGCAGATGAGCCATAGCCAGGTCCAGCATCCTCGAGTAGTTACTGCCGAAAGACATGTGTTTGTAGCGGAAGGTCTTGAACAGGTTGATGAATGCTGTACAATCTCTGGTGGGCGCCACAAGCATCGATTGACGTGAATATTGTGGCATCTTTTAACTTCGGGAGAATTTTTTAAACGTTTTAATGGATAACCATCCTTGACTATTAAAGAAATTTAAAGCTTTAGATCTTTCACCCATCTTGTCCTTCTATCTTTAATGGTCTCACTTTGGATCTCTTGGGAATTGTTCCTGGTTCTAGATCTATCTTTAACTCTAACAGAACTGTTTTCCCATAACAGACAGAGTTATATATATCTACGTTCATTGAATGGGTTAATCGCAATACATGATTTACATATTCAGCTCAGTTCATTTAAGAATTAAACAATACTTACGGGTATGGACAAAACACATTTAAAGTTTGAATACTGGCGCCTAAAACAACGTTGTACAATTCACGTTGCATCATATTGTGAAGAAAAATGTCTAAAAGGTAAAGAATTCAACTTAAGAATATAAACTTATATTTATCTATGTTTTTAAATTCAACTTAAGAATATAATTAAAATTAACTATTTATCTTCAAATTTTTTTAAAATGCACGTAAAATGTATTTCCTATGAATGACATCTGCCCAGGGTTGGAAGGATTTGAAGGATTTGAAGGATTTGAAGGGGCAAAGGAAGGGTTTATAGGGGCAACGGAAGGATTTGAAGGGGCAAGGGAAGGTCTAATTGTTGTGTTTCTAGGGGGTCCACAAGGAGCAGAAGGAGGGTCTGGAGATGCCCGTGGTAACTTTCCTCTAAATGAATAAAAGAAAATTATGAGACAGGTTAGTGTTTCCAGCGCAAGTGGATTTTACTTGCGCGCAATTGCGAGCCCTTGAGCGCAAGTGAATTTAGTTGCGCGCAATTGCTTAATAATTGCGCGCAATAAACGCAACGGAATTGTGCGCGCAAAAGCGCGCAATTCCGTCCAACTTTCTTGCGTTTGTGTTCCAACTTTTTGATAATATTCAATTTAAACCTTATGGCACGCAATAATTACAATTAATTATTGCACTAATATTTAGTCTCAAATGCTAAGAAAATTGAATTTAAGCTTAATCTTTTATTTAATAATATTCATTTGCAGCATGATAACAAGAAAACTCTGGCATAGAAAGACGACATTTTATACTCAAGCAGACTAATGTATAATGAATAAGTGATTTAATAATTTACTAATGAACGTTTTTTTGCTAATTTGTACAAATACAAATACACTATGATGTTGTCCTTCTGTTCCATAGTTTTCTGGTTCTCACTGTAGTAAAATATCTAATTTTGATTAAACGAACCAAAAAGTTTCCATTTTAATGTTTATCCAATGTGAACAAATGAAAAATGTATCATTTAAAATTGTTAATTAGTAGCTTAACTAAAAGAAACTTAAAAATTATAAGACTGTTGAAACAATTGTGAAACTTGGGCCTCGATTATTTTGAAATCTACAGAGATATTTCCATTCTTGTATCTGCTGCATAAATTTGTAAGTCGAACAGTTAAAATTATTGATTTTAGATAGAAAAGCAATTCCGTTGCACGCAATTTCGCGAATTCCGCGAATATTTAATTGCTCCCTTTTTGCAATTATAGCGCAATTGCGCGCAATGAAATGGCGCAAGCGGAAGGAACCATTGCTCGCAAATCCGCGCAACGGAATTCCGATTGGAAACCCTAGTCAAAACCAATTTTAATACTGATCATTATTATATATATTTATATCTATATAATATATATTTATTACACTTAAAAACTCCTTCAATATTTCTATACCTACATCTTTGCAGTCTTTTACCCTTTTCATAAGATAAACTTTAGCGGACATAATATTATGGCATTTGAAATTAGGTATTACAATTCTAATTCATAACAAAGACGATATCGAATTCGTCACTAAATTCCCATGTTTTTGGGACACTCTGTATTTCACATTATACAAAAGTTAATTTAATTTTAGTTATGTGTCTGAGTTTTTTTAAAAGAAATATAAGTTTTATAATGATTTGCAACAAAAAGGTAATCTTTGTTCACTTTAAACAGTAAAATGAAAGCTAATGAGATCTCAAAGTCGTAGCAATAGATCTTCCTAACACGTTTCTTATAATTGTGCCTTGCATTTTGGGACTTTCCTAATTTAAAAAAAAACCTTTGAATGTAAATTTTGTTCTGGTCCATGTGTTTAGTATCTTCCCTGTCACCAGCATTGGGTTGATCATCATTCTTGTCATCCTTGTTAATATTTTGTTTCTCCAACCCAACTCGCCCTCTCCCAACTATACCAGCGGAATCAGAAGTTCCAGGCTTGGTTTCAATGTCGTCTTCGTTTATCTAAACATTTTGGTTTTTAGTCATAATACTGTCCAATAATGGGCTCTCTGAAATCCATGAAAACAGTTGTATGACAGAAAATGGTAGTCATGCGGAGAAATAAGTCCAAATACAATATGCATATTGTTTGTTTAATATTAACAAAGAGGTTTTTGAATATTCGACATATAGCTTTGCACACACATGGATCAGGCATCAGAGGGCAAACAATTACTTGAACTTTTTTTAACGGATTTTGAATTAAAGATAAAAATATGACTGAAAATAGAAAGTATTCGACGATACAGAAAGGATGCACTTCGTTGTATAATAAGATTTACGTTTGTTAGTTGGAATATAATTGGTATAATTTACAGATATATCTCTCAATTAAAAATTTGAAGATTTGCTCAGCCTAATATATATAGCCTAATATATATAGCCTAATATATATAGCCTAAATGGGGGTTGGGGTGTAAAGTGACATGGAAAACAGAGGAATGGGGAGGGATGAGCGGTAGAGAAAAGGTAAAGGAAAGAGAGGTAAATGGAAGACATGGTTGGGGAGGAATGAAGGAAAGATTGACGACGGAAGAGCGAAAAAGAAAGGGGAAGGAAAGGAAAGGAAGAGTGGAAGGTGGATGGGATTGGGGAGGAAGAAAGGGTCGAGGAGTCGGGGTAGAGAAAAAATTTATAAAGGAGGAATTTCGAATATTGAAGAGAGAAAAATATCCTCGTATTAACTGGAAATATATTAAAGGACGAAGAAAGCTTGTAAGAGAGAGAGAGAGAGCGAGAGAGAGAGAGAAGAAAGTAAATAAGTCACGTACACCACTTTGACACAACTTTCTGTAATTCGATTCATTACAGAATTACCTTATCTAAGGCAAATCTAGAGGGTAAACCTTTACATTTAAGAAGAAATGCTTGTTTTCAAAGGTTATATACGTTAAGGCTACATATTTCATCAGAATTTACTCAATTTAGTTTGAAGGTTTAACCTTGCGTGCCGAGATCCTCTGGTTCAATGTATACACATAGTACAAACTTGAAGCCGTAGCTATACACCAGCTTGTATACTGCCTGTCTAGTATTCTCTAGTATTTAGGTAGTTAGATAGGCAACACCCGGCCCAGTAGGAGTAAATATTATTCAGAATATTAGTGAATAAAATATCAAGATTCTAACCCAATTCAAGAAATAACTGCTACCACATAGTGATCTCAAACTCAGCTGTACTTCTAATTTTACACTTAAAAATAAAAAAAACTATTTAATTTTGTTGCAAATGACAACTTTCAAAACATTTAGTGTCCATATAGCTATAGAATTTATTTTCGAAAACATTTATGATTTCGATCTCATACGAATTTTACTTTAGCTTAATGTGAAGGTTCAATTTTTTATTTTTAAATTGGTTTAAGCGAATCTAAATAATTTAGTTTGAAATTGAGCTGAACACGTTTTACGTTATGAAATTTAAATATTATATGTTTCTTGTGCGTCAAATTTGTTTGTCACTCATAGGGGTGATAAATATCTGTATAATATGGTGATCATTAACACTCACTGAAAGGGACAGATCGGCTATGTAAGGTAGTGAAACTGAGTTTGCAGTGTTGTGGAAAGCTTCTTTAGGATTCATTTGAGACATATCAAACTGAGCGGAAGTTCGACGTTCAGAATCGGGTTTTTTAACTATTAAATATCGACGACGAAAAATAAAGTAAAAATCATACGGTTATCTAATTAGATTGTTAGGAACATATTTCTCAAAAGAAATTTGTCAATAAATCAATGCTAGAATCAATTATTTCGTTTTCATCATTATATTGAATTTCTTATTTTCTTTGAATTCATTCGCAGATTTCTTCATATTATTTAAATGTCGTCTTTTCAATAATAATTCCAGAAAATCTGAAGAAAATCTTTTTGAATAATGAGAAACCATAATAATGAGAATATTATAGAAACTAATAATTTAACAAGATTACTTTTGTTCGATGATAAGATTAATTTTTATTTTCTCGAACTTGTTCCTAAATAACTAATTAGTTTACTGTAGAATTTTTTTACATTTTATGTCGTCATTACTTAATAATTTAAAAAAACTAATTCTGAAAACGTATCCACCCCCAAAGTAGGAGTTTTGAGCGTCGAATTTGCGCTCAAACTCAGGATTTTCAGATCTTTGAAAAGTTTTCCACAACACTGCATACTCAGTTCAACTACCTTATATAGCCGGTCTGCCCCTTAAATCCCTCAACTTTATCATGTTCTTTGCTAAATTTAAATCAAATCTAATTCCAGTCTTAGCCTTAGAGGATTTTTAAAGAATTTCAATGTAAAACACACTTTTATGAATGTTCCATGGATAATATATCAGGGTTACCTACATCAAGGATAAAACTTCAAAGACGACTTGACGTAAATTTTAAGATGTCAATACCCTTGAAACCTCATATCTGAACAATACTCAACTATCATATATGGAATATATTGTCATGTTTCTATACAAAGCATTTAAAGGTACCGTTGTGAATCAAGTACTGGCATCTTGCATGGAGGGTCACTTGAAATCATGGTTAAGGCCACGTTTTTTCGAAAGATTATTATTGACAATTTTCCTTTATGATCGATAATCATCCTATTTCTGCGTTTAGAACGAAAAGATCCAAAATAACTACAAATTGAAACATTTGTGATCAATCCCAAGAAATAAAAACATTTTCTGTACAAAGGTGTGTTTTTTGCTATATTTGTTAGATTAAAAATCCTTTCTGCACTCATCGGGGTTTTTAAAATATGCAATAATGGGTCGTTTAAAGAACAAGAACATTCATGCAATTGTTTAGAGTATTTCTTCAATGCTGGAATTCAAACAGGAAAGTGTCCTAGATTAGATTAGACAGAAAATGGCAAAAAGAGAGACTCTCATTTCCGATGGATTGCATAATCTTCAAAAAAGAATATGGTGTAAGTGAATTTAGCACTGCAGAAATAAAATCATTTGCTCATGACACAAAACAAGATGGTAAAACGACTTTGTGACCCTGTCGCTCCTTTAGTTTTGATTTTACGCATACGAACGAGAAAATATCGTATATTCGGTAATATACATATAAGAATATAAAAACATTTTTCTTCAAAAGCTTTCTAATAAAATAAGTTACGTTATGATTTAAAACCAGGGGGGCGGAAACTTCATGCGTTTGTGTCTGTACCGAAAGAGTGTTCGTGTGTGATAAGGAACCGAAAGTTGTACTGTCAGTGAATACAGTGCAGAAGAATCTCGGTATTTGTACAGTCTAGGAGAGTACATTTGTTAATTGTTAATTATGCTTACTTAATAACAAGTTTAATACACATGTTATAAATTATTTAAATATTTAAGCCAAATTTTCATGCAAAGAATATAATTTGATTAAAGTTTACATTAAACTACTTGTTAAATTCAAGCTTAGTTATAATTGACGACTTTTTTCTGCACTTTCCTTGACTGTAGTCATTTTGTGTGTCTGCACCAAAAGAATGTGCTTGTGTAATAAGGAACCTGTCTGCAAAGCTGCAAGCAGTGCACCTGGCTTTCTCATGCCAGACCAGCGTCATTTCCCTTCCCTTTATTCTTATTCCCCGTTTAAAACATTTAAGATTTCGATCTTCTTAGGTTTAAAGTACTCCAGTTTAACATCTGAAGGAAACATTTTTGTCATTTTGTGTTGAGCAAAATTTGTGACAGTGATACCCGAATATGTGCTCAACTTTCTTGAAAGAAATATAAGATAGGAATCAACCTCTGTTCTGGGTCAAAACTTAGTATTTAAAGCTTTGCCAGCAATATATAATATATAATTAGAAAGTGTACTATCAAGCATAATATGTACTTTGCCAGCAATATATAATATATAATTAGAAAGTGTACTATCAAGCATAAAATGTACTTTGACCTGTAAATGAAGTGTACTGTGACGTATACAATGAATATGAATACTAAGAAAATTGTAAGATTTAAAAAAAACATTAAAAATACATTATTCGATCTTTTTATGTTTGAAATAATTTATAGGATATTTTTATCATGAAGTTGACCAACATTTGTACAGAAATATTCCTTAAATTTAATCCTATTTTATTAAAGAAACCGGATTTTAATCTACGTTCTTTCTTTTTAATCTTTACTTGCTCTTTAAGGATTTTGAAATATTTTGTTGTCTAAAAATATTAGAACATTGCCTTCATTCTCCGACCCTCACCACTCAAATCTAGATGGATATAAATCTCAATTACAGCACCTCAAACCAAAATAAGTTTAACGTAAGATAAAAATTAAAATCTTAATGTTTTCAATCATTATTCCTTTTATTAAGAGCTATTGAGAAGAATAAAAATGTTATAAATTTCTAATATACAACCGAATTAATCTGCTTTTCTTTACTTATAAAGGAACCTGGATGAGCTACAAGGTCACAAAGTCGTGCTTGTAATGCCGCGTAAAATTGGCCTATGAGTATGCGGGGAAAATCAAATTTTGAATATCTATTCTTTTAATGAAATAAACTGTGATTTAATGAAATAAACTGGGAGTGGGACTAATGTACAGTATGAGGATAGGACAGGACAGGATAGGACACGACAGGTACCATGGACAGGACAGGACAGGTACAATGGACAGGACAGGACAGGTACCATGGACAGGACAGAACAGGATAGGATAGGACAGGACAGGTACCATGGACAGGACAGAACAGGATAGGATAGGACAGGACGGGCACCATGGACAGGACAGAACAGGATAGGACAGGACAGGTACAATGGACAGGACAGGACAAGTACCATTGACAGGACAGAACAGGATAGGACAGGACAGGACAGGTGCCATGGACAGGACAGAACAGGATAGGACAGGATAGGACAGGTACCATGGACAGAACAGGATAGGACAGGTCAGTTACCATGGTCCCCATTCCCCATCCACTGACCTTCTTATATTGGAATGTTACAAAGTTATTTCCCAAAGGATTTAACGAAAATGAAGTAAAACTGGATCATTCTATTTCCAGATTTTGCCAACGTTATTCCACCCAAAAATGAATATCTGCCACAGAGGCCTGAGTTGTGGTGTCAAGCTCCAAAAGGTTACTAAACTGTTAAGAGGGTCTACTGGTTTAAACCCTGGTATTCAGCTAGCTAGATGTGTTTCTACTGGTGGACCTACTGATCAGAAGGTTCACCGTCTCAAGGATGCTGAACCATTCAAGGTAAGGTTTAAGTAAACAAGTCTTTAATACAACATCAGCTGAAAGAAACAGCCAGCAATGGTTTTATAAACGACCTTTTCTTTTTGTTTTGCAATAAACTAGGTACATTCCTCAATATCTCTTTCTACATTCAACAAGTAAAAAAGTATCTTTAAAGGGAACATATTAGCAATTTCTAGAGATCCTCCATGCACAGATTTACAACGGTACCCTTGAAACCTTAATCTCATCAAACATGTGAAAGATACTCGAAAAGTATCTGTGAGTTTTTCTCCATTGCTTCTTATAAACAAGAAATGCGATTGCTTCTTATGAGCAAGGAACGAGCATGTAATTTACGCAGAGAAACCGCAAATGAAAATAAACAGTTTTATGGAATTAACAAACACATTGATATCTTTTCAAGGGTACCGTTGTAAATCAGGCAACACAATATTTGCATTGTAAGTCACTTGTAATTACGTTTACAGTCCCTTTAAAGGGAGTGTCCGGTAGTTGAACTGAGTATGCAGTAATTTGGAATACTTCTTTCGGATTCATTTGAGACATATCAAACTTTTGAAAGATCTGTAAATCCTGAGTTTGAGCGCAAATTCGATGTTCAAAACTCCTACTTTGGGGGTGGATACATTTTCAGAATTAGTTTTTTTAAAAATAAAATTAAGAAATTAATCTTATCCTCGAAAATAAGTAATCTTGTTCAATTATTAGTTTCTATTTTCTAATTATTCTGGTTTCTCATTATTCACAAAGCTTTTCTGCAGATTTTCTAGAATTATTATTGAAAAGACGACATTTGAAGAATTTGTAGAAATCTGCAAATAAATTCAAAGAAAATAATAAATTCAATATAATAATGAAAACGAAATAATTGATTCTAGCATTGACAAATTTCTTTTGAGAATTATGTTCCTAACCATCTAATTAGATTACTGTATGATTTTAACTTTGTTTTTGTTGTCGTTATTTAATAATTCAAAAAGAAACTATTTCTGAAAACGTATCCACCCCCAACGTTGAACTTGCGCTGAAACTCAGGATTTACAGATCTTTAAAAGGTTTAATATGTCTCAAATGAATCTTAAAGAAGTTTTCCACAACACTGCATTCTCAGTTCAACGACCTTACATAGCCGGTCACTACCTTTAAATTATTTAGAACTACGCGAAATCAACTGAATCCCTGGATCACTTTACTTCTAAAACAACTCAACCAAAAATTGAAAATTACACTTTCCCTCATCCCATCTGGTCCAACGAGGAACTCAACGAAGTAGAGGTAAACTCACAAACTTTACCCAAAACAATGTAATTATCAATAATAGTCATTTTTAACTTTTTATTCAGATTAGTCACAGGAAACCTCAAGGAATAGCGGATCATCTAGCATACTTTTCAGTGATGACCCTAAGGTTCAATTTATTACTACATTTATTTGTGCAATTAATTTAGGCTTATAAATATGGGTCATAAATTGAATTTGTTACCATTTTCCCTTCTTAAAACGTACCAGCCACCAGATTAAAAACTAGACATATTTTGAATAGAAAAAAACCTTAAAGATATCTGTGATTTTCTCAAAATTATCCTGCATCCCCTTAAACATATCTGTCACATACTCAAAATTATCTGGCACATATTCGACATTATCTGGCACATCCTTCTAAATATCTGGAACAACCACTAAATGATCTGAATTCCAACATCAATTTTGATATCCATTAATTTTCTATTATATCTTAATTAGTTTTCTAATATTTGTATCCAACCAGGACAAGTTTTGATCTGTTTTCTAATATTTGTATCCAACCAGGACCAGTTTTGATCTGTTTTCTAATATTTGTATCCAACCAGGACCAGTTTTGATCTGTTTTCTGGTTATACAATCCAGAACAAACTTAATACTTTGGATGAAAGATCTGTTCTGATAAGGTAAATATAGTTTAGTTTAGTATAATAATACAACCTTGACAATATTTCACTTACTGACGGGGAACATTTAGACTTTAATGACAATTCAATAAAAAAAGAGTTTTTTAATCTGGATATTTAAGCCCAGTTCAATGTTCATCGCGTTTTACAAATTCTTTCTCTAATGGAACTACGTTTCGCAATCTGATGGTGTTAACCTTTAATATTTGAATCTCAGATGACTTGATCTAACATTATTCATAAATTAGACTATCTAACATATTGTAAGATTGGGTTGTAAAGATATAGGAATTAGAAAATCAGAGTTTGTGAAAAAACTTGATTCATTTCTAACTTTCTTAAAAACTGATTGATTTCAGAGCTATCTTCCTCGAAACAGTTGCTGGTGTGCCAGGTTTCTCAGCTGGGATGATCAGACATCTTCAATCCTTAAGAAAGATGAGAAGAGATCATGGTTGGATTCATACTCTTATAGAGGAGGCAGAGAACGAGAGAATGCATCTACTTACATTCCTTGAACTCAAAAAGTAGGCTCTTACATCAAAATAACTTTTAATATTTTTCATACAATTTTAAAACTTTTTTTTAATTTTAGACCTGGGCCAATATTTCGTGGCGTTGTTGTTTTTACACAGCTCTCCTTTACAGCTGGGTTCTCCCTAGCCTACCTTATATCTCCACACTTCTGCCACAGGTATATTTATAGCTAGGTTCTCTCTAGGCGACCTTATTCATCCATACTTCTGACACAGTTACATTTATATCTAGGTATTCCCTAGCCTACCTTATATCCCCATACTTCTGCCACAGGTATATTTATAGCTAGGTTCCTCTGGACCACCTTACATCTCCACACTTCTGCCACTGTTATATTTATAGCTAGGTTCTCCCTGGCCTAACCTACCTAATATCGCTACAGTTCTGCCACAGGTATATTTACAACTAGGTTCTCTCTAGACGACCTTATATCTCCATACGTCTGCCACAGGTATATTTATAGCTAGGTTTCTCTAGGCGACCTTATTCATCCATACTTCTGCCTCAGGTATATTTACAGTTAGATTCTCCCTAGCCTACTGAACGTCCCCATACTTCTGCCTCAGGTATATTTATATCTAGGTTCTCCCTAGCCTACCATATATCCCCATACTTCTGCCACAGGTATATTTATATCTAGGTTCTATCCCCACACTTCTGCCACAGGTATATTTATATCTAGGTTCTCCCTAACATACCTTATATCCCCATACTTCTGCCACAGGTATATTTATAGCTAGGTTCTCCCTAACATACCTTATATCCCCACACTTCTGCCACAGGTATATTTATATCTAGGTTCTCCCTAACATACCTTATATCCCCATACTTCTGCCACAGCTATATTTATAGCTAGGTTCTCCCTAGCCTACCATATATCCCCATACTTCTGCCTCAGGTATATTTATATCTAGGTTCCCCCTAGCCTACCTTATATCCCCATACTTCTGCCACAGGTATATTTATATCTAGGTTCCTCCTAACATACCTTATATCCCCATACTTCTGCCACAGCTATATTTAAAGCTAGGTTCTCCCTAGCCTACCTTATATCCCCACACTTCTGCCACAGCTATATTTATATCTAGGTTCTCCCTAACATACCTTATATCCCCACACTTCTACCTCAGGTATATTTATATCTAGGTTCCCCCTAACATACCTTATATCCCCACACTTCTGCCACAGGTATATTTATAACTAGGTTCCCCCTAACATACCTTATATCCCCACACTTCTGCCACAGGTATATTTATATCTAGGTTCCCCCGAACATACCTTATATCCCCACACTTCTACCTCAGGTATATTTATATCTAGGTTCTCCCTAACATACCTTATATCCCCATACTTCTGCCACAGGTATATTTATAGCTAGGTTCCCCCTAACATAATACTTCTGCCACAGGTATATTTATATCTAGGTTCCCCCTAACATACCTTATTTCCCCATACTTCTGCCTCAGGTATATTTATAGCTAGGTTCCCCCTAACATACCTTATATCCCCATACTTCTGCCACAGGTATATTTATAGCTAGATTCTCCCTAGCCTACCTTATATCCCCATACTTCTGCCTCAGGTATATTTATATCTAGGTTCTCCCTAACATACCTTATATCCCCACACTTCTGCCACAGGTATATTTATATCTAGGTTCTCCCTAACATACCTTATATCCCCATACTTCTGCCACAGGTATATTTATATCTAGGTTCTCCCTAACATACCTTATATCCCCACACTTCTGCCACAGGTATATTTATATCTAGGTTCTCCCTAACATACCTTATATCCCCACACTTCTGCCACAGGTATATTATAGCTAGGTTCTCCTTAGGCTACCTTATTTCTCAACACTTCTGCCAGATGTATATTTATATAGGGTGTCCCAATAAACATGGGAATTGAGAGACGACTTGAATATCGTCTTTGATTTCCAATAATTGTTAGATTGCATAAAATGTATCAAAAAAAGATTGAACGTCTAATAAGCTTTCCAAAATGTGGTCTACCTGCTTTGTGTCTTTAAAATTGACAGAGATATCAGACGTTTGAATAGTTTCGTTAATTTTTTATTAACTATCTTCTCCTTCAAAATTTCCTAATATCTCCGTCAATTTTGTAGGAGAAGAATTGGTAGACCACTTTTAGAAAATCCCAAGAATATTAGTTTTCGGTGTTAAATGTTTCAACCGTCATACTATTAAATCATATTTACAAAATAATCCCGCTTGAAACAAAGACAAAATAATAGTTGCAATTTTATTCCAGTGTTGATTGCATGGGAAACCTTGTATTATGTTCTCTCTAGCCTATTTTATATGAAACATTAAGTATTAAACCTAAATATTTTACCAAGTCTACCGGGTTGTTATAATGCGGACAACAGTTTATTATTCTGCTACATTATAAATGATTTCTTCTTAATTATCAATCATGTACAGGGTTACCCACAAAGGTAAAGATTTTTATGACGACCTAACATTCATTAAATATGATGATCTGAAGGAGAAAATTGGTCTTCTGACTTGAGTCATGGGTTTTCACATGATATACTTAATGATTTAGCTTGGGGGAAAAGAACTATGAACCCAGAATTTAGAGAAACAGACTAAATAAGTTCTCTACAGTCGTCTCTGAAGTACAATCCTTTGAGGGTAACCTTGTACAAAAAGTCTATTTATTTCAGGTTTGTTGGATACCTAGAGGAGCAAGCAGTTGTAACCTATACCCAGATATTGAATAAGATTGATGAGGGAAAACTACCAATGTGGAAAAATCTCCCAGCACCAGTTATTGCAGTCAAGTAAGGATAAGTCTCAATAAAGATAAAGTGAAAAATTTACTTTTAAACAATATTTTCTTTTGTGCAGATATTGGAAGCTGGATGAAAAGGCTGTCATGAGAGATGTTATTCTTGCGATAAGGTATTTTTTTATAAGCTATATACTCCGTAATTAATTTTGAATTCATGGGTAAGATTTTTTAAAAATATTTCCGTTCGTTTTTACTATTTTTTACTAGAAACCATATGGATCATGATACACGTTGAAGAACACAAATCGGATGTTACATAAAGTACAGAATTCAAAGAGTTCACTTTTATGATAAAAGTGCTTAAAGCTTGTGTGCAAATTCCAAAAATTCGGACTTTACTTAACTATGTCTTACTCTGCAAAAATATTTAAAAATAATTTATAATTTAAACCTTATTAAAGCATACTCCAGTGGGTTCCCTCGAAAAAATTCTTCCATTTTGGTTCCTCCGTTTGGCCAGAGTTATTACTATGATGTATATAAATTTAAGCCAAAAACATTATTATATATATACACAGATATGATTGTAGTCATATTTAGAAAATAAATATTGGTAAAATGGCGGTTATTTTTCTGCACTAATTGGTGTTTTCTTTCTGTGGCTTATTTTTAATACCAAATTGATATTTTTTCCCCGCAAGGTTGGTAACCCGGGTTTCGTTGATAAATGTTAGATATAAATTTTATTGTTTCTAGAGCTGACGAGGCACATCATAGACAAGTAAACCATACTCTTGGAGATCTAGACCACAACCAAGACAACCCTTACGGACCAGGACAGTAATATGGATATTTGAAGCAGCGTATGAATCCTCCAAATTCATGGAAACCAAATAGATAAAATACAGGTCTGAATATACTTAGGAAATCTGACTTAGTTCATGAAATTACTTGTTTTCATGTTTAATGTTTAAATAATATTACAGTATTCTCAGATGTAACTTGTGTTTAAACTCTTTGTTAATGTATCTACTTTGTAATGTATTCTTTTTATTAAGTAAGTCACTAGTAACATTTTAATGAAATTATTTCAGTAAATTATGCTAAAATGAATTTTTTAGAAAATTTCGAAAATGTAAATAATGGAATCAGAATCCGAAAATCAAAATTAAATATTCTACCTCTTCCGAAACTCATACTTGACAAAGCAGCATTAGGAGATGAAAAGAAATGAAATAGAATTAGATATGCTATAAGATTGTTGTTATTAGTAAGCTTTGTTACACTAGAATTTGCTTGTTATAATTTTAGAATGATAATATATGTCAATATATAGTGCAATAATTTCATTTTTATTATTTCCATTCTTAATCAAAATGAATTAAGACTGGAAAGTCACCTTATGTTCTGATTGACTTCACTTTCCTTGAAGGGTTTTTAATAATTTGGATAAAAGTATTTATTCACAATTTTTCCATCTTAAATTGTTTTGTGAAATAAATTATTTAAATATGTTAAAACTGTTTTGTTGTTGTTAAAGTTATAGGTTTAAAACAAGCCATTTAAAGGTGGTTATAGGATAAGAGGGAGGGGGGAAGGATATATTATTCCCCCCCCCCCCGTATTGCAAAAAGTATTGTTATTGTCTTGCAAAGAAATTAATGTATTTTACAACCAAAGAAAAGTTTAGTTTACTGAAGTGGAAATAGGGTTGGTAACGTTTTGATTTTTGAAAAAAACGATCGTTTCGTTAAGAAAACGTCGAGGAAAATCGAAAAACGAAACGATCGTTTTAAAAACGATCGTTTTTTTTTAAAAGTTCGTTTTTTAAAAACTGTCGTTTTTTAAACGATCGTTATAAAAAACGATCGTTTAAAAAAACGATCGTTTTTCAAAACTATCGTTTTTATAAAGTTCGTCGTTTTGTTAACGATCGTTAACGACTACCCTTCGTTAACGATCGTTAACGACTACCCTTCGTTAAAGATCGTTAACGACTACCCTTCGTTAACGACTACCCTTTGTTAACGATCGTTAACGACTACCCTTCGTTAACGACTACCCTTCTTGATAATAACCGTAAATTTGGAGACTACAGTCCTTCTTTCAAATGATCGTTTTCAAAAACGATTGTTCTTCGTTTTCTAACAGTTCAAAACGAGTGGGTTGTTTTAAAAACGATCGTTTTTTTGAGAAAACGAAACGATCGTTTTTAAAAATGATCGTTTAACGAAGCAAAAAACGATCGTTAAACGATCGTTTTCAAAAACGATTACCAACCCTAAGTGGAAATTGCAATTTATGTTTTGATTCAGTTGCACATCCAAATACTTCTAAGAATCTCAAATTAATTAAATTGATTCCGCCATTTTTATTTTTTTTCCATTATTTCATATAAATAATCTCATTACCGTAGATTTGCCGAGGTTTTTGTACTCGACTTCAGTAAGCATTTCATCATATTTTAGATGGTATTGTATAAGAATGGACAATACAAATAAACTGGGAAATACTATTTTAAAACTAAATTTTTGAAATCCGTGAACTCTTGTTTTAATATTTTCATATTTTTGGTAAGTTTAATTACTTTAGAATTTAATATAAAAGTGTTACTTTATCTTCTGTTGATAAAATACTCTTACCTGATATGAATTATCTCCTGAATCAGATTTTTCATGCAAATCTCGATTTTCTAAACACAAACTTATTTAGAAATAATTTTGTTTGTACCTGGACATTAAATACAATAGAAAATATGGTCCTACTTAATGTAAACTGTACTTTTTACAATACAATTTCTAAACGTTCAACGTTACGTTTACGTTTCAACGTTATATGCGTATGATGAATATTATCGTAACGAACGCTAAAATTCGAGAAATCGAAACGTTAACACCTTTAGTATACAGCCAGACATTTGTTTAGCAAATTATGATCAGTATAAAGGATGTAACAATAAACATATTTTCAGAATATGCAGTTTCATACCTGATTTCAAATTTCATAATTCCGTGTGCTAGAATTTATTTTTTGGAACACAGTAAAAGTTTGTATAATCTGTCTGAAAGATAAAGACTGACAACTGTATTTGTATGGAGGAATTTTCTTATTTTAATAAGTACACCACCGTATTCAATTAAAACATAAACTTACAAATTCTAAATTCTAGCAACCGAAAATCCTTTTTATGGGGATCACTGTAGCTAACTTATGTTTTTTCTCCCTTGTTCCTTCATGTTTAAGTTTATGTGACACTTCTATCAGATGTGTCACACGTGCCAATATGGTTTATTATAACACGTGTCAATATCAGCTCAAATTACAGAACTTCTCTGAGTATATTGGGATTTAGAATTTCTCCAGTAGTTTAATAAATTTAATTTTTGGAAGGAATAAGTTCTTCCTTAATCCAATCTTTTTTGGATATTGTACAGAAAAATCAAAAACCTGTTTTTCAAAATTAGAGAGTCCCTTCCGTTTCCGTATAGTAATCTTAAGTGGCGGGTAAAATTTCAAATTTCCCGGCTTCTTTAAACGCGACTCTGATTGGTTGAATTTTATTCACTTTTCAGGATACAAGTACAAGATTAGACTACTCTCCAGATTAAGAAAAAGAGAGGATCAAGCATTGATCTCAATATCGACCGTTCTAAAGTTTTCAGCTCTGATCTAACAGAGCTCATAGTTTAAGATATCTAAGTTCTACAGTATTTGGGTGGCAAAGAAAAAGGGATTAGAAAATCAGAGTTTGTGGCAATAACTCAGTTCCTTTCTATCGTTCTATAGAAAATGATATGTTTCATTTTTAGAGTTTTAATCGGTGGATAGGACTCTTTATGAATATATATTCTGTGGAGTCTGGATATTACTTTGTCATTAAAATATAATCTTTGGATATTACTCTGTTATAAAGATATAACCAGTGTATTATTTATTATTTAACCATTCAATATGAAGTTATACTCTGAGGACATTACTCTAGGATAAAGATACCCTCTGTGGAGTGTGGATATTACTCTGTTATGAAGACTTACTCTGTGAATATTAATCTGTTATAAATATATACTTTGTGGATATTAATCTGTTATGAAGATATACTCTGTGGATATTACTCTGTTATGAAGATATACTCTGTGGATTTTACTCTGTTAAGAAGATACACTCTGTGGATATCATTCTGTTAAGAAGATATACTCTGTGGATATGACTCTGTTATGAAGATATACTCTGTGAATATTACTCTGTTATGAAGATATACTCTGTAATAAAGATATACTCTGTGGATATTAATCTGTTATAAAGATATACTCTGTGGATATGAATCTGTTGTGAAGATATTCTCTGTTGATATGAATCTGTTATGAAGATATACTCTGTGGATATTACTCTGTTATGAAGATATACTCTGTGGACATTTCTCTGTTATGAAGATATACTTTGTGGATATTACTCTGTTATGAAGATATACTCTGTGGATATTACTTTGTTATGATGTTATGCTCTGTGGATATTACTCTGTTATGAAGATATACTCTATGGATATTACTCTGTTATGAAGATATACTCTATGGATATTACTCTGTTATGAAGATATACTCTAAATAATTTTACCAAATAGAATTTGAGAAGATATGCAAGTATATTATGGAGTCCACGAGTATGGAATATTTATATAATTATATATTTATATATTCTCTGCTCTGTGTATATATGATTACATTAGTATACTAAAACTGTTGCTAAATACGTGCCTAAACATTTCAAGAGGTAAATCCGTTGTTACTAATGAAAGACGACCATAATTGCAAAGTTTGCTATGGACTATTTTCAACCATTAAATGGTTTTCCGATATTACTACACAATGCAAAAGAGAACTTCTATTTTAAAATTAAAAAAATACTAAAACTGCTACTAAATATGGTGTTTTGGATAAAATTCAAACAGTTTCAAGTTCTTAACATAATCTGTCGTTATTTTTTAACGATCGTTTATTTAAAAACAATCGTATAAAAAACGGTCGCGTATCGTTTTTCTGAAAATGATCGTTTTCAAAAACGATTGTTCTTCGTTTTCTNAAACCAGTCAAGCTGAATACGATAACATGAAACTTATAGTTGGTAAATGGTGGTTTAGAGCGGGAGCCAACACGATGGGAGAATATGGGAAAGGAAAGGGGAAAAGAAACAGGGGAAAATGGAACGCAGGGAACATGATGTGGGGAACAGAGAGAAAAGGGAAATAAGCAACATGGGACGGAGAACAGAGATAATGAGAAAATAAGGAACATGGGGTGGGGAACAGAGAGAAAAAGAATAAAAACATAAGGAATATGGGGCGGGAAAAAGAAAGAATGGGGAAAGAAGGAACACTGGGCGGGAAACAGAACAAAAGAGAAAATAAGAAACATGAGGGGGGGGGCGGAGTGAAAGAAAACGTAGATAATATAAGGAACATTAGGCAATGAGCAGAGAGAAATAGGAAATCAGGAACATTGGGCGGGGAACATGAGAGCAAGGAGAAATAAGCAACAGGGACGGGGAACAGAGATAATGGGAAAATAAGGAACATGAGGCAGGGAACAGAGTAAATGAAACAGAAGGAACATGGGGCGTGGAATTAGAGGGAAAAAGTAACGTGGGCGACGAATTGAAAGAAAGTGAACATACGGAACATGGGCGGGGAACAGCTAGAGAAAAGGGGTGTAAAGGAACTTGGGGCGGGGAACAGCTAGTGAGAAAGGGAAAATATGGAACTGGAACAGATAGAGAGAATGGGAAAATAAGGAACTTGGGGCGGAGAACAGCTAGAGAGAATGGGAAAATAAGGAACTTGGGGCGGAGAACAGCTAGAGAGAAAGGGAAAATAAGGAACTTTGGGCGGGGAACAGCTAGAGAGAAAGGGAAAATAAGGAACTTGGGGCGGGGAACAGCTAGAGAGAAAAAAAAACTAAGGAACTTGGGGCGGGGAACAGCTAGAAAGAAAGGAAAATCAAGGAACAAAGAGAAAGGGGAAGGAACTAAGGAAAGAGAACATAGTGCAGTCAGAAGATTATAGAGGGAAGGGTGTACGGAAAAGATGGTCGAAAATCACTGCAGTATAGACAAATATTTTTTTCTCTCTCTACACTTCCATAAATTTTCCTTTAACTTTTCCTTCTCCTTCACCTCGTTTTGCTTTCCTTTAGTTTTAAACTGTTCTTGTTTCATATATTTGTATTTATCTCTGAAAAGGGCCTCTCATAATCTCATTCAAAACAACCAGCAATGGTTAGAGAGGTCCTGGCTCAATTAAAATGTAAAAATTGTGCACTACCTGCTGTAATTAACTTCTGTTTATCAAAATGTTTACTCAAATATGTGTACCTATATATATATGTCTAGACAGAAGGAGCAACATGACTAGGAAGCATAATTGGAGAAAGATTTCAATATTACGTGCAATTTACAAGCAAAAAGAGAAATAAGCAAATGAAACTTATAGAACCGATAAGCGGGGTTGCCAATGAGTATGTTTTAGAAGGGAGATACAACTGACGCGGCCCGCCCTACCATATGCTTTGCAGACTGTACTTCAATCATTTGAATAAGAAATATTTGTCTGATGTACAATAACCTTTTCTAAATATTTCTTATTTGAATTTAAGAGGAATCAATCTCTAGGTTCCACAATATAGTTTAGATTGAATTCATCCCGGTGATTATGCAAAATTTATACTAATCTTTAAAAAAGTAGATAAACCTTGTTTTTCTTGATAATACAAACCATCTTCTTCCTCCTCTGCACAAACTCCTTCCAACAAATAGAAATAGAAAAAAATGTAATGCTAATAAATATAGCTAATAATACTAAAAGTTCAAATTCTAACTTTTTAAAATAAATTGCTAACCAATGGAGAAAAAACTCCGTAACGAACAAAGAACAATTTATTAAAATCTTTTGTTTAAAAAACTTCATATTATAATTTTAATAACTCACCCTGTGCACTGCTGGTTGGTAAAAGACCGTTTTTTAACTTCTCTGTCCTGTGCAAAAACAAAAAATGTTTTAAAAAACTGAACTTTTTGAATAAAACATCCTAAATTATTTTCATTTGGCCAAAATGATAAAGATATCATTAACTGCTGGGATTAAGTGAGGAGAAGGGTTCAAGGTGATGTTAGGTACTTTCCCCAAGGATTTTTCGCAAGTGGCAACTTCCTAAATGTGTATTTTCCCGAGTAGCAACTTCCCAAGTCTATCCTAGACGCAGCGCTCGGCCCCCCATTGTAGCCTGCGGTGCCTCAGAAGGCATAACCTAACCTTTGGGAAGTTGCTGCTTGGGAACTTGCACATTTGGAAAGTTCTCAATTGGGAAATCACCCTTGGGAAATTGCCCCTTGGGAAAAATCCTTTGGGAAAGTACCTAACACCTTCAAGGTGGGTTATCAGGTTAAGTCGGTTATGTGAGTCCTAAACTTGGATCCGTTCGATTCAGCTTGTTGGAAGATAAGTACAATCAGATAAGCGATTAGATTACATTACCTGAATCCATGCCAAGCATTTCCTGCACTCATTCTTTGTTTTCCTGCCTTTTCCCGGGCGTTGATATTCCTAAAAATGAATATATTGTATATATCCTTGACATTATATTTAAAACTTTGCATGATACACGTGTTCATCGGATTAAAGTGAATAATCAAAAGTATATTTATCAATTCCTTGTATGTTTATACTTGATCTCAATATTTACCTAGAACCTCTATTAATGGAGAATACACTAGGGATATTTACCTAGGAACTCTATTAATGGAGAATACACAAGGAATATTTACCTAAGAACTCTATTAATGGAGAATAAACTATAGGAATATTGATAAAGAACTCTATTAATGGGGAATACACTAGGAATATGTACCTAAGAACTCTATTAATGGAGAATACACTAGGAATATTTATCTAAGAACTCTATTAATGGAGAATACACCAGGAATATTTACCTAAGAACTCTATTGATGGAGGAAACACTAGGAATAGTTTCAGTAGAGCAAACTCCATCCCTAAAATAAAAAATTGTTGCTAATGGTGTGACTTTTGAATCTTTAACATATACTTTCGGTGCTTAATTATTTATTAGTTGAATACCAGTTTATCTCCGAAATTAATCTTGAATCCTTCAATTAAAAAATGTTAAGTATTAAATTCAAAAGTTGAAGCTAAGCCTTAGCCCAAAAACAAAAAGTTACGCCCTCTGTATATTTAATCCGTTTTTGTGACGTATTTGACAATGAAGATCAACCTTATTTCGAACTTAATCTTTTTTATGACAAACTGATTTTGATAAATCTAATTTGTTTTAAATGGAAATAGATTCCTGCGTGACAGGTTAACGTCAATTAAACTCAGGATATGCAACTTTAAGTTTATTAAATGAGAATATGATTTTATTCGACATTTTTTAATTGCAGTTACCTGAGCAATCTTTCACGGATTTCCCAGGCAAATATTGATGGACATTCTGCTTTATACCTGAATATAAACATAAACATAAACAATATAAACATGGGAATTCAGTGACGAATTCGATATCGTCTTCTTAAATAATTCTTTGATTTAGTATAGTGATACCTACTGAGAAAGCTGTAATCCAAAAGATTTTTTGTCTGCTATGTTCACAATTTGTTTGTTTATGTTTTGACTACATAAGGGTGTACTTAGTAAAACAATAAAATTGCACTATACAAACAGAATAAACAAGGCCGTCTTCACTGTTCATCTTGCCGAGACATTATAGACACATTTTTTACACATCTTTTACCCTTTTCATAAAATAAACTCTAGCAGACATAATACTATTATGGCTTTAGAAATTAGGTATTACAATGTTAATTCATAACAAAGACGATATAAAATTCGTCACTGAATTTCCATGTTTATTGGGACACCCTGTAGATAAGAGATACTATACAACAAATCCAAATAAATACTATATACATATATGTTGGCAAACACAACCAGAGCAAAGTTTTATTATCTAAGATTATTATCATATTATTTTGAATAGTTCATTGAGCAAGAAATACAGCAATGGAACTGCACTTAATAAGTTGATTTTCAACCTGCTAGTAAAACTATTTTCTTTGATATTAAATACACATAGAAATTTCTTAACAGTTGTCCTCTTTCAAAGCTTAAGGGTCCGGCTGTACCTCAAAATCTCTTTGTCAAACCTACCCCTCAACCTGTCTGACTAATCCACCTCACTACCAATATGACTAACCTACTTCTCTACCTGTATTACTAACCTACCTCTCTACCTGTCTGACTAATCTACCTCACTACCAATATGACTAACCTACTTCTCTACCTGTCTGACTAACCTACCTCTCTACCTGTCTGACTATCTACCTCACTACCAATATGACTAACCTACTTCTCTACCTGTATGACTAACCTACCTCTCTAACTTTATGATAAAAATACCCCTCTACCTGTATGACTAACCTCCCTCTTTACCTGTATGACTAAAATACCTCTCTACCTTTATGACGAACCTACCTCTCTAACTTTATGATTAACATACCCCTCTACCTGTATGACTAACCTCCCTTTTTACCTGTATGACTAACCTACCTATCTACCTATATAAATTACCTACCTCTCTATCTATATGACTAACGCTCCTTTCTAGTCTCTACCTATATGACTAACCTACCTCTCTACCTATATGACTAGCCTACGCCTTTACCTTTATAGCTAACCTACCTCTCTACATGTCTAACCACAAGGTTAGTTGCTACTCTTGGCTTGGATCCACCAATAGCTTTAGGTCGGATAGAACCTGTCTCGTAATATCTAAATAAATGTTGCTAAATTAAATTTTCAAAGCATTTTATAGTTTGGATTTAAAACATATACATATATCTTTAAAATCCAAATGGAGTAAGATTTTTGTTAGATTCTGTTTTTTATACTTTTAACTCTTCAAATATCGTAAATACTCAAAATTAAAATTATTTATAAAAATTATAAAAAACTGAAAAAAAAATACGAACCTTCCAAGTATTTTTGATACACATCCATTTGAGACCTGAATTAAAATAACTATTTAGAACCATAGAAGCTTAAAATTTAGCATTTTTATTTTGCTTCATTCACAACCTATGTTGTTAATTGATAACAAATAAAGATCAGATTGTGGGAGACGATAGTCTATACAAGAGTTCCACAACAGTACTCCGAGAGCTCAGCACGAGACGGAGCATTGAACTTACTCTGATCTCGTACAACTAGTAAACAATGATCTCGATATCCCTCACAACCTCTATAAGATGATTTTTTAAAAACATAATTCTCGACTCTTTTCATACTTTTCATTTAAGAGTAGAAAAAATAATTTTACGTCCCATATCATATTAGTTTATCTCATTCTACAAAATAAAGACATTTTACTCCAAAAACCAAGCATTTTTTTGCAAGAAAATTTTTATGTTAGCCTTATTAAATTCTTTTAAAATGATTCAAACTACTTAAATGTTCTGATTAGTCCCGAAAATCGTAATTTTGACGATCTAATATGATGTGGGACACCCTGTATGTAAAAAAATGAATGAAAAGATGAATATTTAAAAGTAAAATGTATATAAACGATCAATAGATCCAGCCATAGATTATGACATGGAAAGATGAGTGATGAAACCAAGAAACTGACCTGTAATATTCTTGAAATATGACATGGAAAGATGAGTGATCAAACCAATAAACTGACCTGTAATATTCTTGAAATATCGCAAGGACGTGCTCCAGAGTGCGCTAATTCAACTGAGAACAAAAATATAAAAATAAACCACACATGTTCATATCATTCTTAATTTTGTACTTTCCAAAAGAAGTATAATTTTTTTGTTATCTTTTGAAACCAAGTTTTGATAGTTTTTCTACTCACGTAAAATTCACACGTTTGGTCTTGGGCTAGCTCACCATTTTTTAAATGGATAGAACGAGAGTTAAACTCGTTCAGTTAGATTTATGGATCTATTTTGTTGACTTATCAAAAAATGGATCGGAAAAAACTGAAAAAAAATTGAAATTATGTTGAACAAAGAGGGTGACCAAAAAAAGGTTAAGCGTTTTTTTACCCTTTTATGCAATTTAAAGTTTCAACGCAGAGTCCAAGGGAAATTACTTCATTGATTTGTTTTTGTCAAATTTTGTCTTTTTCTAAGGCCTTGTTTCTGTTAACAGAATAACAAAATATGATTAAAATACCCAAATCTGAGAAGTTTCAATGCATAAAAAGATCCAAATACCCTAATTATTCTTGCACACAGATCATATGGTTATACCAGTAATAGTTGGATCTAGAGATTTTGTTACTAATTGTTTGGTTTAGTATAATTCGGTTTGGTTTGATTTTGTTTGGTTTGATTTTGTTTAGCTTGGTTTAGTTTTTTTTTGGTGTGGTTTGATTTGGTTTAATAAGATTTGGTTTGGAGTTTTTTTGGTTTTGGTTTGATTTGATTTGGTTTTGTTTTGGTTTGGTTTGGTTAGGATTGGTTCAGTTTGGTTTGTTCTGATTTGTTTTGGTTTGATTTGGTTTAGATTGATTTGGTTTTGTTCATTTTGGTTTGCTTTAGTTTGGTGTGGTTTGATTTGGTTTGGTTTGATTTGTTTTGGTTTGATTTGGTTTGATATCATTTGTTTGGGTTTGGTGGTTTAGTTTGGTTTGGTTCAGTTTGGTTTGTTTGATTTGGTTTAGCTTGAGTTGGTTTTGTGTATTTTGGTTTGACTTGGTTTGATTCAGATTGGTTTGATATGGTTTGATTTGATTTGGTTTGATTTGATTTGAGCAGAATTTAGTATGTTTTAGTTTCGTTTGGTTTGATTTGTTTGATTTGATTTTGTTTGATTTGATTTGAGAGGAATTTAGTTTGTTTTAGTTTGGTTTGATTTGATTTGTTTGGTTTAAATATTTTCCTATTTTCTGTCTGGTGGAATCTGGAAGCGGGCGCCCTGTATTTCAAGATTAGAAAATACTATTTATCAAAAATAACAGATTTAAAAACTGGAACACTGCGAAGTCTAGCACTCTCTTTTAGAGGAACAATTTGAAAATTTAAAATTCAACCGATTTTGTAGGCAATCGTACAAACTAAAAAATCGAGTGCTTTTTTTCTCAAACTAAATTTTAACATCATATATTCTTTGTAAAAATTGTTTAATTCTAATCTCCTGAAACGAAAACACCTCCCAGCTGGTTTACACCACTGTGACCTTCAATACACATTTTTAGTATTTTTTCATATTATAAATAGAGAGAAATAATACGTTCTTATCGTAAAAACTAAAAGAAAATGTCTGAAAATCAATTTCAAGAATGACATCAACCTTCCAATAAAAATAACCTTTGATAATAAAAAATCTACCTCACTCCCAATATGANATATCATAAAATTGATATTTTTCAATTGCAATCTTTCCATTTGACTTTTAAGCGACCCGCAGATTTAGGCAGCAGAAGAAAGGCAATTGCCATATAAGCATCTTTTCGTTATTAAAAAACAACGATAATTTCCTGCCTGCTGGCTGCTACTTGATAAATCAAAAGATTGAAGGGTGCCGTTGTAAATCAGGAATGAAGTAAAATGAATTTTATTAATGGAAATCAATGACTGATGAGAAACCTAACTTTAATTATCTCTATAGCAGAAATTTCTGTGTTCTCTTTTTAAGAATTTTCACTAAAAGTGGATTATTATTTGAACTTTTAATTACAAACTTAAAGGTTTTTCTACATCTTAAAATTTCTATATTTATTCCAACCTTTCGTAGAAAAGTCGTCCTGGCTCCAGGCAGCGGCCATGTTTTCTAAGATTAAAAACTTTACTATTTTCACGACTGACTGAAGACTATTTTCCTCTCCGTTTATCTCACATCCTTTGGTTAGATTGAACCTCCAACTGATTTAAAGAGGCTGGAAACCGACCAATAGGAGGATCTTAGACTAAATAGAGACTTCTGATTGGACAAGTTTTTGCAAGGTTTGCCGCCACGGATTCTTTTAAGGATAAAGAGAACCAAGAACTTGGTTGAATAGATAAACCATTATTTGACGTTGAAAGCTGATTGGTTGGAAATTTCAAAATGAGTTACATTTTTTTTCGTTAGAAATGTTTAACTTTTCATTCGCATTTTAAATTAAACATTTAAACATTACTTGATGATCATGACGAAAATTTATTTTTATTTTCAAAAATATTTTCGATTATTTATCAAATTTATTTTATCTAAATAATATGATAAGGACTGAAAAAGCTTTCTATTAAAGAATAAAAAAGATGAAAATTATATTCTTTTATCGTGAACATATTTCAATTTTTGTTCACCGTCTATTTTACTTAATTAAAGAGATTAAAGGGACTGTAAGCGAAATTTAAGTGCCCCTCCTTGTAAAGAGGAGAATACCCAAAGAGAATAGAATATATATTAGAGTGGAATTTACTAGAAAAAAGTGTAAAACGGCCATTTTGTTGTACTGTTTCCATACTGCAGGTGTACTTCACATATTTATGCTATATAACCTTTTGGGCCCTGGAATATCATTTTATAGAAAATTTAAAATTAATCTTAAAAGAAAACCAAATTATGAAATAGGCTGGTTTCATAAATGACCAATGATCATTTCACATAGACTCTTTGCCTTTCACTTTACAAACGATGATTTTCCGTTATAACTATAAATAAAATTATGTATTTTTATTCACCTAATCCATTTTATAAAGTTTATTTAACAGCTTTAAAAAATTCGAAATTGAAATGGATAGTCTAGGGAACATACTGTATTAATGTACTCTACTGCATACAATTTTTGAACATTTACATGATTTGTACACTTTGAACTCCCTTTCAGACTGAAAGGAACGGAAAAAAGTCATACCGAAGGATTGTCTAAATTCCACTCTAATATATATTCTATTCTCTTTGGAAATACCCGTTTTATCAACGGCATAAAATATATATATATTTGTTGGATAGAAAGATAGATGTTGCCGCCATAATATTTCTATTGGTTCAGAATAGACAACAAACACATTACTGAACCCTGATTGTATCAGGCGCTAATGGACTCGGCATACAGGAGTACAACAACTATAAACGTTTCTGTAAAAAATAAGGAAAGGTCTGTCACCCTTGATCCGTCAAAGATTTACAGAGTACTGTTGTGAATTGTACAATCCACTCGATAAATGGATGGTTACTTGAAATGACGTCTTAGCATCATCTGCAGGACATTTTCACCAAATTCTTTTATATTATTCATTCAAAACATATCTACATTTCACATTCCTCAGGGATTGTCTAAAAATGTTTTTTTTCCTGTTGGACTTACATTGAAGATGGAAACTAATAAATATGGATAAAATTTAAGTTCCTTTTTTAAATTTGATAAAGATTTAAAAAAACAAATTTACAGAACAGTTTTTAGATTTCTCGAATTTTATGTATAATGTATTCATATATTGTTAAAAACTATTTGTTTAAAAAAATCTAAAATATACCAAAAGAATGCATTCTTGGATACGCCATGAACTGTATACCGAGTACCGATGTGTTACAGCAGGGACGATAATTGGATGTTATTAACCCTATCCTGACTGAGCTGTTTTTGTCTAATATGGATGGGGGAGGGGTGTTTTCCACCCTCTCCCCCTATGATTTTGCCCTGAGAGCTGAAATAGGGGAGTGAGATACATGTCTCTAGCCCAACCTTTCAAGGCCTTCTCATAAAAAATAAGACCTCTAACTTTAATGATTAGGGTGCAAGAAAGGAATTTTAAAAAGTTTTAAAAGTTTAAAAAGTTTAAAAAGTTTAAAAAGTTTAAAAAGTTCTGGAATAATTTCTGTCGTTTAAATCAAATGGATAACAATCCCCTCTAGCATTAAAATATTGATATAAATATTCAAAATTATGTAAAAATATAAAAATCTACTGCGAATCGACAGGGCTAGTGTGGGAAAACGGTATAGGATTGATGATACAGATAGATAGATAGATAGATAGATGGATTGAAAAATATATCTATAGTTAGATATACAAGGATGGATAAATGAATGAATGAATAGATGACTAGGTATTCCCTTCTATACATATCAACTGTATTGGAAAGATGAAACCATGATGAAAGAAAATAGATAAGACTCTGGACTAACTAGAGTTTAATATGTAGAATTCCAGAAAATAGATAAGACTCTGGACTAACTAGAGTTTAATATGTAGATTTTTGCTGTTCCAACATCACACAAGTCAAGTTTTCATCTCTTAATAAGAATTCAACCCAAAATAAACACCCTATAATATAAACGTATATAGCCCTCCAAAAAAGTATAAAATAGCAAATACGAAAATCTTCATTTAATACGTGATATGCAAAAATTGAGTTTAAAGTCAAGACTTGCTGACTTTTAAAAATAACCTCTTATCGACTGGATGTATACTCTAGCTATATTGAAATGATTTTATTGGTGATCTGTAGATTTTGTAAAGATTAGTAATGTTGCGAGTGTGACTCCAAATCATGAAAAAAGACTTTTAGATTACAATAATTCACTTATTTGGTTATTCTCCGTTAATTTTTAAGCAACTGGCTACATAATTGTTTGATATGTATTTTATCCAAAATTACAAAAATTACAAAATATCTAATATTACTTACATTGAATTTTACTAAATAATGTATAATAAATAGGTCCATAACAGAACTTCTTCAGAAGGATTTCTGGTTTAAAAATGCGGGCCAACCTCCCAATGGAGGGAATACCGAATAGTTCAGTTCTAAAATAGTATAAGGTCATTTGACTAAGTGACCTTATACTACCTGAGAACTGAACCTTATAGAACCTTGTAGAGAGGAAGTTCGGGTGTGGGCCGCGGAAATACGGTGTAGGGTCTGGATATCTTATTATAAATGTATAAATTCTTGAAAATTAGAAACGCCAACTATGTTGAGACAAGTGTTAAATTCTTCTTGATTAAGCTTCTAGTTAGATGAATGAATAAATATGGTTAAATAAAATAAATATTGGATTGATTGATATCACATATGTAGAGCACAAAACTGTATACAAGGTTGAGGGAGGGGGGAGTTCATAAAGTTGATCCTGTTCCTCTTGATGGACTGGGAGGCCAGACACTTCAAGCTCATGTACTAGTTCAAAAATACTTTCAATATATTTCTTTGGTCTGAAGATTGGTATGAAGATTATAAAACATTTCAGGACAGATAAATCTGTTTAAAATCTTTTATTAAACATTAAAATATTATTTATAATACGGTTGAGTTTTGTTTTTGGAGTCAAACATTATCTTTGCTGTGGTGAGATTATGTAAATCTAAAAATCAGTTTTTCTTGTGTATGTCAATAAAGGTTTATATTGATAAAGGTTTATATTGTGTATGTCAATAAAGGTTTATATTGTGTATGTCAATAAAGGTTTATATTGTGTATGTCAATAAAGGTTTATATTGTGTATGTCAATAAAGGTTTATATTGTGTATGTCAATAAAGGTTTATATCCGATTAATAGTTGAAATCATGTTACAAGACCCCATTTGCACGACGTTTGTTCATAATTGAAAGATATAATATCGATCGTTTGATGCATGAAAATATTTCCTTGACGATATTAAGTTTAGCTGGATGTGTTCTGAGTATATCTACAGGCATGAGACCCATACAATCAGAGACATCAACGTGGGCTCCGTGATCCAGCAGCAGCTCAGCTGTTGCAAGATTATAATTTTCCTAAACAAACAAATAGTTCAGGAAAGATCTTAACAATCGCCATAATCTCTAATTTGCCAATTTACTTGTATCTTTGCAACCTAATGGTGTAAATCTTTGTTATTTCAAACTTAGACTTTTTTATGTAACTGAGTTCATGGTTTCAAATTATTAGAAAATTAGTATTAGTGTGCAGTGGTGAGTTTGCAGTTCCTCTCATGAAGTTAGATATGAAAATAACTGATTGTTGGTGGTTAGTGCACTGCGCCACCCATTTTTTTTTATAATGGTTCATATACTTTAAAGGCAAGATGGTAATTTTAGCAACAGTTCTTGATTTTAAAAAATCTAGATGTTTGTTGTCAATATGCTGATGAATTCAATGCATGTGGACGTGATTTGGGTTCAGGGACTCAATGCTTGATTATATATCTATGATATGCATAAATGAGACACATTCCAGTGTCTTATCAGACGCAGAAATTTCTAAGCGGTTCAAAATCTGGCATGCAAGAAAAGGGCCTTGGAACAGAGAAAAGCTATGAGTTTACGAAAACTCTACGTAAAGAGTGGCGCGAAGCGCCATGTATTTATTGATTCAAGTGATAACTAAATATACCTTCATAGAAGAAATATGTAAAGCAGTTTCCCGATCCTTGTTTCTAAAATAATAGTTCAAAAAACAACCATTTTTACAATAGTTCCTTTTCCTGTATAATTATCGTAGTTAGCAAATAACAAAAAACCAAAATTGTCTTTAAAGGGAGTGTTCGCTTAATATCAAGCGATCTTCTATTTATAAAGGTACATCTCCAATTCACAACGGTACCCTGTAAACCTTTGTCTGTTCAAGGATTACAGGCTTGTCCTTATATAACTAAAGAAGTGCTTGCAATTGTTGAACGCATTGTTTGCAAACTGTTTTATATTTAAGAAATGTTATTATTTACTTTCAGAAACGAAAGTTTACATTCAAATCTTTGTTAACCGCGCTGGATATAAACTATTCTAGATTTTTAAGGAATGTGACTTTATGGGCGGTGATTTCACACAGTAAACTATTGTGCACTCCAAGTTTACGGATTTTCACACAGCAATATTAAGATATATAGAGAGTAATATTTCTTTTCTTGATAAGTAAAGATTTAAAGAGATCTGTTGTGTCATTCTTTATATGGAATTTCACTTGAAATTACGTTTACAGCCCTAAAGATGTCAACGTTTTGATTTTTCTAGATTTTATCTTTCGTTCCGATAGTGTTCTTAAAAAGTATAAACGTTAGAAACGTAATGTCATGAATTTTCTGTACTTAAATACCTTATACAACGTTAAGCTTTTGTAAATGTTAGTGAAAAAACAGTAAGCTCCGTTATGCTTTTGCATTTTCCGTTTTCAAAACTTTCCCAATATAACCACAATTTTTAACGTTCCACTTTCATGCAAGGTAAATATTTTCAGAGACCTTACGTTACAATTTCCCTTGGTTTAAGATCTAAAAGGTGACAAACGTTTTGCTTTAATAAAACGTCATTGGGCATAGTTCTGCACGTTGCAATGCATTTCAGTGCAAAGAATATTTTTTGTTAACATTACGTTTTATCTTAACTTTTCCAATATAAACTCTTTCAGAGATATAATATAAACTCTAAATAACTCTAAATAACTGTAATTTAATTAATTCTAAAGCAAGCAATGAATTTTATAACACACAGATAATATAAATTCTTTAATGAACAGTCATCAATATTTCAAGAGATCCTTAATCATGCTACAGGCAGGATTATTCGCCCGTCTTAGAAAAAAATGTGTGTTTTCAACAAACAGTTTTTAGATAAATGTTTTAAAAAATAATTTTTTTTCTTGAATTACCTGGCATGAACATTAAATCCAGCGAAGAGGAGGAATTTGATGACGTCATAATTTGGAAATAGATAATAGTTTTCATCTTCAATATAGTTGTTCTGTCTAAATATAGTTTTCATATTCAATATAGTTGTTCTGTCTAAACATAGTTTTCATATTCAATATAGTTGTTCTGTCTAAACATAGTTTTCATCTTTAATATGTTGTTCTGTCTAAACATAGTTTTCATATTCAATATAGTTGTTCTGTCTAAACATAGTTTTCATATTCAATATAGTTGTTCTGTCTAAACATAGTTTTCATATTCAATATAGTTGTTCTGTCTAAACATAGTTTTCATCTTCAATATAGTTGTTTTGTATAAATATAGTTTTCATCTTCAATAAAGTTGTTCTGTCTAAATATAGTTTTCATCTTCAATATAGTTGTTCTGTCTAAAATCAATAAACAATGTATAAACAAAATCAAAGGATTTAAGTTGCGAAATTTGTATTTGGTCTTTCTTGAACACTATAATAACAGTATACAGCAGTTGAAACAGTTAGTCTTCGGCTTGGGAATTAAAAAATGTGCTTTTTACTTTCATAATTGACAGAAAAGATTAAAAACTTATGGAGATTTAAAAATACTTCGAAATTAACAATTCAACAACTAATATGATCTCACGGTCGTCTCCATATTCTCGTGTTTATTAGGACTATTGTCAAATATCTACAATTGGAATGTAGAGAAATGAATTTTACTGTTAAACTAGCTTGAGAACCCAGCTTTAACTGGAGATCTAAACTTTCCCATCGTAAGTCAACTCAACTAACCAACTCAACTAATAATTCTTTTACAGGAAAAGGACATTCCCATGGCGCTACGGAATTCACAAATCAAACAATACAAACAAAAAAGCAGACAAAACGACGAACAGAGATTACTACGTCATATACATAGTTGTAAATAAATATAAGTACCTAACAGCTGATGTTGAACTAACCGCCAGATGAAGCAGAGTATCCCCGTTCGATGATATTATTCCTGAAATAAAAAAATAATAAAAAAACTAAAACATTCCAATCACAAATCTTCAACAGAAATCTAGTAAATGATTGTATTTTATGTTTCAAATTCATGTGTTTATTTTACAGGGTTGCCTTTAAAGGTAAAGAATTTTTAGACAAGATGACCGGCATAAACCCTTTGTTTATAGCGATATGAAGAATGGGTTTAATCTTATATCTAGAATAATATAGTAAAGGATATTGCAAAGAAACAAGTTTACAGAAAAACCAGAATGTTAAGGGTAAACCTAAATGAATTCCGTACAGTAGTCTCCTGAACACTTCAATATAAAAGGTACAAAATGGTACTAATAGCACTTTATTTATCAAAAATCGTTTAAAATCCCCCAACAAAAGAAATGAGTCTTTAACGCAGGCTAAGGTTTTCTAATCCCTATAATTTTGCAACCCAATGTCGTAGACGTTAGATATTTCAAACTTTGAAATCCATAGGATCAAAAAATCTTAGTTTGAAATATCAAAGATTTACACCATTAGGTTGCAAAGATGCATGGATTTGCAAATTTGAGTTTGTGGCAAATACTGAATTCCTTTCTAATTCTAAATTACCTGTATTTTTAGCATTTTTCACAATATTGAATAATTCCCTCCGATCATCATCATTCTGTACAAGTTTGAGCAACAGGAAAACTAAACATAAAAAAATACATGTAAGATCTATAAAAATGTGATATTGTTATATATATATATTTATAATATATATTTTATTATGATACTAGGCTTGGAAACCCAGCTTTTAATGAAACTGTACTTCCCCTAAGTAAACTCACTGAAATTAAAATCTTTAAACCAAGATAAGAACATTCATATGATTCCCCATTCCAACCAAAATTTGAGACACATTCGTCAAGGGGTTCTTGAGTTATGATCGGAAGTACAAATAAACAAGGAGACATTTCTATTTTATATACAGATTTAAAGAACTAGTAAACCTTGATGTAACCAGGAGTTAAGAACTAGTATACCTAGATGTAATCAGGAGTTAAGAACTATAGTATACCTGGATGTAACCAGTAGTTAAGAACTAGTATACCTAGATGTAACCAGGAGTTAAGAACTATAGTATACCTGGATGTAACCAGGAGTTAAGAATTAGTATACCTGGATGTAACCAGGAGTTAAGAATTAGTATACCTAGATGTAACCAGGAGTTCAGAACAAGATCCCAGTTCTCTAGTTGGGATTTAAATTGAGGAATAACATGAACCAAACTCTGAGCAGCCTTTAGTCCTGTGTTTAGACACCTTCAATTAATAGATATATAATCTTTAAATAATCTTTAAATAATCTTTAAGCCCCCCCCCCAAAAGAAATACCTTGTAGTATTAGCTACATCTTTAAAATGTAAATCTTTAGAGCTTTCGTTTGCTTCCTGAAAAACAAATTAACTATTGTTGGTTAAAATATTTTAATATTCTATTTTAAAAAACTTATTTTTTATGATTGTTTACCTTTAGGTAAATGTTCATGAAAAGTTGAATTACTGCCCTGGAAAATTTAGATAATATTATTGATGACTAGCTGAAGTGTCCGTGTGTTGCCCGTGGAATTTTGAAAAAAATTGAATTAAAAAAAATCCTTTTTATAAAAAAAATCTTTTGATTTTTTCGCATATGTCACCCCCTGACACCCATGGGGTTTCTAAACATTATTTTGCATCCTCTTCGGTCTAGCCTTTTGCCCAGCTACAGTACATAAAAAGAAATATAAATATATATACAAATATATAGATATACAAATATACAAATATACAAATATACAAAAATAGAAATATACAAATATAAAAATACATAAACATGAGTGAAGAGCTTTATTAAACAGATAAAATATAAAGAAGCAATAAATATGTGAAATTTTATAAATTTTAGAAATTAGAATTGCATTGCACTTGACTGCAAACTAGACAGAACAATGGAGAAGGTAAAAGCTATGCGACATCACCTCTACAACCCCCCCCCCCCTCCCCCCTCCAAATATTAGAATAGCAGTATTATTTGGTAAAATATAGAAATTAGAAACATTTTTTTCTTCTAGCTCTTAAAAAATAAATTATAATTAAAAACTCTTAAGAAATCAATCTTATGTGGAATTTACTGTAATTTGACGTGACTTGGGATTGTTTGGAAATAAAGAAAAATCTAAAAGATCATTTTTAAAAACTGTGTATGGCTACTGGGTTCTTTTAAAGGGAGTGACTGGCAAAGTATGGTGGCTGAGATTCCTGAGATTGCAGTATTGTAGAGAAATTTTTATAGGATTCATTTGAGAGATATAAAACGTTTTCAAAAATCTATAATTACTGAGTTTGAGCGCAAAGTCGACGTTCAAAATCAAATAGTGTCCATAGAGAGGGACCGTCCCTTTCAGCTCAAATTCTGAACGAAAAATCGGCTTTTTCTCCGACCACAGTTGTCTTTGAAAAGTAAGACTATTACCAATCAACAGTGAATAGGCTGTTTAGTTTACCCTGAAATTACCCAAATAAGTGAACGGTCCCTTTAAACATTTCAGAATATCTGCAGAAAATCTTTGCGAATAATGAGAGATTAAAGAATCTAATTATTGAATAAGATGATAAGAGTTAATTATTTTTTTTTACCGGTTTCTAAACAACCAATTAGTTTACTGTAGAATTTTTGTTACATTTTTTGTCGTCGTCATTTAATAATTAAAAAAAACGGTTCTAAACGTACACACCCAAATCGATGATTTTGAACGTCGACTTTGTGCTTAAAGGGAGTGACCGGCTATGTAAGGTAGTTGAACTGAGGACGCAGTGTTGTGGAAAACTTCTTTAGCATTAATTTGAGACATATTTCACTTTTTAAAAGTCTGTAAATCCTGAGTTTGAGCGCAAATTCGACGTTCAAAACTCCTGATATGGGGGTGGATACGCTTTCAGAATTAGTTTTTTTTTAAATTATTAATTAACGACGACAGAAAATGTAAAAATATTCTTCAATAAACTACAGACGTCATGTTTAGGAACATTTTGAGAAAATAAAAATTAATCTTATCGTCGAAAATAAGTAAATTTGTTCAATTATTAGTTTCTATTATCTCATTATTCTAGTTTCTCGTTATTCACAAAGATGTTCGTAGATTTTCTATAATTATTATTGAAAAGACGACATTTAAAGAATTCGAAGAAATCTGCGAATAAATTCAAAGAAAATTGGAAATTCAATATAATAATGAAAACGAAATAATCGATTTTAGCATTGATTTATTGACAAATTTCTTTTGTGAAATATGTTCCTAGCCATCTAATTAGATTACTGTATAATTTTTACTTTATTTTTCGTTGTCGTTAGTTAATAATTTAAAAAAACTAATTCTGAAAGCGTATCCACCCCCAAATCAGGAGTTGTGAACGTCAAATTTGCGCTCAAACTCAGGATTTACAGATCTTTAAAAAGTGAAATATGTCTCAAATGAATCCTAAAGAAGTTTTCCACAACGCTGCATACTCAGTTCAATTACCTTGCATAGCCGGTCACTCCCTTTAAACTCAGTAATTATAGATCTTAAAAACGTTGTTAAATACTTTTAAATGTCTTCTTCCATGTACTGTATAAGATATTAAAGATTTAGAGCCTGAAACACAAGATCGTACAGAGCTGAGAACATAGATAAATAAATAAACATAGATAGCTTATGTACGCAAAATCGCCAAGAATTGCAAAGTCCGCGAACTCATACTTCTAGGGGTCAAAGTGTACTTCAATGATAAGCGGGGTGGTTTGGTGTTTTAATAGATTTCGTAATAGAGTGTAAAAGAACTCCGGGAATGGAACTATTTGAACAACAATATTTCACTGAGCAATATATCATATTGACGAGAACTGAAGAAGGACATGAGAAGGACTAAACTAACTTAAATTTCTCTCTACAGAACTCATGTACACCACAAGTACTCAATGACATAATAACAGCTAATGTTCACAACCGACCTAGTTAATCTATATAATAGAAATATCTTCAAAACATCCCTGTACATTTATATCTTCCAAGATGAAAAATGTCGTAAAATGTCGTCTTATGCGCAATCTATCTTTATCTATGGCTGAGAACTATTAAATGACCGCAAATAATTAAACTCGTTATTTCCTGGCGTTGAGCCTGAGATAAGCAATTTTTTCAAGTTATATCTTTCGGCGTGAAAGAATGCAAGTTAAACCTTTTTAGTTTATTAAAAAGTTTCCATCTGAGAGAAAGTACATAGGAAATACAATATTTGAAAATAACCTTATTGTGAATGAAGCATCACTGCTAAGCACAGTTTCTTTTTCTATCTTGAGCTGTAGGGCATAGTTCCATAAACCTGAAAGTAAACTTAATAAATAAAAAGTGGTTGAACTACGTAGACTAAGTTGAACCACTTCTCTTCTACTCCAGATCAAAGTGTAGAAAAGTGGTTAACTTTATTTTTTAAGTTTGGTTTCGGAGAAGATCAAGTTTATCGATGGAACCTACTTTTGTGTGATTTAAATTATTTTTAATATTTGTTCCTGTACTCTGATATTTTGAAGGGAATGTAAGCGCAATTTTAAGTGACCCTTCAAAGTTGACAACGACCGATTGAAACAGTACACCTTGACAACTATCTCTGATAAATAATGTGGCAGACCATGTCGTTTTCTAGATAAAAATCTGATATTAAACCAGAAGTAGATCCCACATTCATGAGGGAATTGAGTCTTTGCCACACCGACAAATATTCGAACCCCTTTATCTTTGCAACCTGATTGTGTAAACCTTTGATATTTCAAACTTATTTTATTTGATCTAACAATATTCATAGTTTGAAATACTACTGGTCTACGACATTGGGTTGAAATTATAAAGGGATTTCAAAGACTCTTGATCAAAGATAAGAAAATGTTATGTTAAATGTAAAAACGCTACCTATACAAGAGTTGAACTGGCTTGAATCTGCGTATCCTGCTCCAGCATACATATAGCGAAATATTGTGTCCTTATGATGACTGCCTAAATTATGATTATACCAATAAAAAAATGGTTAATATAATATGGACTTTTTCATTTAAAACTTTATCACTTTTGCAGTTATTAATAGTAACATTTCAAAATTTTTAATAAAGAGTTATTGAAAAAGATTTGTTACAACTTTTATTGAGTTTAAAATACTTATTATAATTTATTTTTCTATTTTATAATGAATTTACCTAGAATTCTTTCTGTTATCAGAAGAGCCTGAACTTTCAACTAAAATAATACTTTTATAATGTTTCCTCTTTAACGATAAAGATGTAAAAACATAGTTCCGAGCTTTAATTTTGATTAGTAAAAGCTGATCTGAAACCTTAGTAAGTTTTCTTCAGATTTTTGGAATTAATTGCTGGGCTATTTTCGGATTTAAAACACGAGTTAAACACGATATAAAAAAACCTTAATTTGAATAATTTTAACTGGATACAATTGAATTGATGCTTTGCCACAAAGTCTAATTTTATAATCCCTTTATCTTCAGAACCCAATGTCGCAGACTTTTGATATTTCTATGAATAGTTCAAGTGATCTAAGTTTGAAATATTAAAGGTTGCAAAGATATAAGCATTGACAAATTTGTGTTTGTGACAAAATTTCAATCCCTTTCGTTTAAATTGGATTAATCTGGTTGAAACTAGATTGGCCTAATTAGAACTAGACACAAACTTGATTCATATTGGTGCTAAATGGATTGACCTGGGACCCCAGATATAATGAAAATATTAATAACTTAATTATGCAGAAATTGAGCTACATCTCTCCTCCTTGATCCGGTGTCCAAGACAACTGATTGACCGACTGTTCGTGGTTCAACTAATTCTCGCGAGCTATTAATCAAATCTGGCCCCCCTGTTTTGATATAGTTTAAACTGGATTAACCTAGTTTGAACCGGATACTAATCTGGTTTGAACTGGATTAACCTGGTTTGCACTGGATTAACCTGGTTTGAACTGGATTCGAATCTGGTTTGAACTGGATTAACCCGGTTTGGATCTGGTTTGAACTGGATTAACCCGGGTTTAAACTGGATTAACCTGGTATGAACTGGATTAACGTGGTTTGAACTGGCTTAACCTGATTTGAACTGGATTAACCTGGTTTGAACTGGAATAACCTGGTTTGATCTGGAACTGGATTAACCTGGTTTGAACTGGATTAACCTGGTTTGAACTGGAATAAACTGGTTTGAACTGGATTAACCTGGTTTGAACTGGATTAACCTGGTTTGCACTGGATTAACCTGGTTTGAACTGGATTCGAATCTGGTTTGAACTGGATTAACCCGGTTTGGATCTGGTTTGAACTGGATTAACCTGGGTTTAAACTGGATTAACCTGGTATGAACTGGATTAACGTGGTTTGAACTGGCTTAACCTGGTTTGAACTGGATTAACCTGGTTTGAACTGGAATAACCTGGTTTGAACTGGATTAACCTGGTTTGAACTGGATTAAGCTGGTTTGAACTGGAATAACCTGGTTTAGATCTGATGAAAGTATGTCTAGTTCTCCTCTGTTGCTGAACTCATGGATCCCCAGAACATGATGGATTCCTGGATAAAATGTAAAATAAACATTCTGAGGTTCAGATTAAAGTTGAACTTAGTATGGCTAGTTGAACTACTTGTCTTCTACACTCCAGGTCCCGCTTAGATAAGTAGTTCACCTAACCGTACCTAATTCGCAAATCTACTTGCTATTCAATAAATAAAGTTATTTTGAACCACTAATTTTTACCTGTATATGGTTTGGGGACGGGAACTTCGCCATTATTTCGGATTTCTTAAATACATATTTTTTATTAAATTTTATATCAAGTAGGCAACATACACGACCAACCAACTTATATCTTTGCAACAAGTTTGATGAAGTTCATTATGCTTCACAAGCTGTATTTTTTATTTTTTTTATTTCTCCAAGAAAATGCAGCTTGTGAGATATATACAGCTATTTAACATGTATACAACATTTTTGAGAAACCATTTGCGCTTATTGTTTCAATCATAGATAAAAAAATATCTATGGTTTCGATTCTTAATTACCATTACAACCAGCCAGAACATGATCTATTTTGATTAGTCTATGTACAATGTGCATAATACAAAATGTTAAGTGATAATTTAATTCCAAATGAAAACTAGTATTTTCCTAAAGCTTTTCTCCAAAGAAAGAGTGTAGTTCCCATATCATGAAGATCAAGAAGAAATGAGGAACCAAGAAGTTCAAATGCATCACACACCTAGAAATTATTTGACTATCTAAAATAAGAAAATACTCCTTAGAAGGTTTCTTTAACATAAATCTTTACTTTTGAGTTTGCGAATCAATTGATTTTTATTATTCTTACGAAAGATGCAAGAAGGAAAAATCATAATTCAGTTTTAAATCGATAAGATTATTTCACTTTTGTTTCCTGATGGTATCTCATGCACTCTCCTATTCATTCCTGATAGGACAAATCTGTGAAGGGTAACTTTGCGAATCGGACATGCCACTCTCTAAATGGAAACCCACTTGAAATTACGCTTAAAGTCCCTTTCATATTGTTGTGTTTATCCTGAACCCCATTTTAGTTTTGCATATCCTGAAATTGAGCCTTCATTCTTGCTGGTCATAATCACCACTTTTGATGTAAGGAAATTACAAGATCCAATTCCAATTTTAAAATATAAAAAAATCTGGACTGTCGAATATAGTATAATTAAAGCTTACATAAAATGATTTATTTATCTACCTTGGCAATGGGATAATCTATTTTATCGATAAGATAGTTGAAAACCATAATAGCTCCCTTGATACAGGCAGTCTGCAGTGCATCATCTCCATACTTGGAGCTTATATACGGATCCGCTCCATACTCTAGCATTCAATCAATCAATCAATAAATCAATCATTCACTCAATCAATTTATCAATCAATCAATCAATCAATCAATTAATCAATCCATCAATAAATCAAGCACTTAATCAATCAATCAATTAATCAATAATCAATCAATCACTTAATCAATCAATCAATCAATCAATCAAACCATCATACAGTTAATCAATCAATCAATCAATCAATTAATCAATCAGCCAATCAATTAATTTATCAATCAATCAATAAATAAATCAATCAATCAAATAATTATTACTTGATCATGAAATACATTGACAAAGAATTATCTAAATAAAAATCGTATTAATGTTGAGTTTAAGTTCTAAAATCCGACGGAAAACTGGTCATTTTCGTGAAAACTCTTAAATAGGTATTTTATGCTTGAATCAGAAACAAAACAAATACTTCGGCGCGCTTGCGACGCCCCAAAATCTTTTATCAACAGATGTCGGTTTTAAAGTAGTATTTGAGTAATTTACCTAGAAGAATTTTAACAGTTTCTAAACGATGTTCCTGGACTGCATAATGAAGAGCTGTCTTTCGCTGTACATCATCTGACAGACAGGAATTCAGTAGAAAATTAAAAATACAGTTTAAAAGAAATGATTTTTTATAATTGACACAGAAATTGTTTTGATTGCTACGGTTACTCTTAAAAGCTTTAAAGTGAGAGACCGGCTAGACATGGCAGTTGAGCTGAAAGTGCAATATTGTAGAGAAAAACTTTAGGATTCATTTGACACTAATGGGATATTTTTACTGTGTACAATTCTTAAATAAGAGTACAATTCTTAAATAAGAGTACAATTCTTAAATAAGAGTACAATTCTTAAATAAGAGTACAATTCTTAAATAAGAGTACAATTCTGATATAAAAGGACAAAACATGTGCAACAAATACTATTCTACAAACTGGTTGAATATAAACAAACAGGTTGAGAAAAAAATTAACTTATATCATTGGAAATAAGTTATTAAAATTCATTCTAAAATCTCGCAGGTTTACGCAAATTTATGTGAAGACGAAGTTTGAAGGAATCTGCAAATAAATGATAGAAAGAGCAGTTAATGATGAAAATGAAAAAATCGATTCTACGGTTTTACTATGGCTTTCATCGATAATTTCTTTTTCTTTGTTCCTATATAAGTCTATAAAATATTTTTTTACATGTTTTGTCCGGGTTATTAAATAGTTGTAGGAAACGTTTTTTTGCTGACTAAAACAACTAGTGAAATATTATAAACGACTTCAGGCTCTTTTTTAGAATTGTACACCATAAAAGTGTCTCATTTGAATCAAATTAATATTAAAGTTTTTTTCTACAATACTGCACTTTCAGCTCCACTACCATGTCTAGCCGGGTTCCCCCTTAAAACATCATGTTTGGTATATACAATATTATTCAAATCGGTGACAAGTTTTGAAACTTAATTCAGCCGAATCGAGAGTTTAAAATAGTTTTAAATATTTGTCTAAATACCTGCATTTACATCGGCTCCATGATCTAGAAGATATTTAACTAGTTCAGGAGACTGCACACTGTTGATCAAACAAGTTCCTGAACATTTAGAAAAATCAATTTTTTGTTCATATTTTTTGATATTTATATTTCTTTTTACTTTTTGGATATTAAAAGGACTGAAACTTATTAAAATTGTTTTTAGAAATTTGAAACGAAACCCTTTAACCGTTTTATAATAGTAGTGGTAAAGATATTTTTATTATTTATAAAAAATCGATAACTTTCTGTCTTATAAAAACACTCTTAGATTGTTTCAGTTAAAAGAAAACAGATGAAAATGGATCTCTTTAAACTCACTTCCAAAATGGGTTCTTCTTAACTCACTTTCAAAATGGGTTCCTCTACACTAACTTCCAAAATGGGTTCCTCTAAACTCACTTTCAAAATGGGTTCCTCTACACTAACTTCCAAAATGGGTTCCTCTAAACTCACTTCCAAAATGGGTTCTTCTAAACTAACTTCCAAAATGGGTTCCTCTAAACTCACTTCCAAAATGGGTTCCACTAAATTCACTTCCAAAATGGGTTCCTCTAAACTCACTTCCAAAATGGGATCTTCTAAATTCACTTCCAAAATGGGTTCATCTAAACTAACTTCCAAAATAGGCTCCTCTAAACTCACTTACAAAATGGGTTCCTCTACACTAACTTCCAAAATAGGTTTCTCTAAACTCACTTTCAAAATGGGTTCCTCTACACTAACTTCCAAAATGGGTTTCTTTAAACTCACTTCCAAAATGGATTCCTTTAAACTTCCTTCCTAAATGGCTTTAAAATCACTTTTAAATGGATTCCTTGAAACTCACCTCCAAAATGGTTTGGTAGTTGAATATCAGCTCCATGTTCCACTAAAGCTCGAATTATTTCCATGTGACTTAAATATAGTTCATTAAACTGGTGGATAATCCTGGTCTATATAACAAGTTAACCAGCATACCTGTGGAAAACCCTGGTCTATATAGCAAGTTAAATAGCATACCTGGTGGATAACCCTGGTCTATATAACAAGCTAACCAGTATACCTGGTGGCTAAACCTGTTCTTTATAGCAAGCGAACCAGTATACCTGGAGGATAACCCTGGTCTAACAATATAGCAAGCTGACCGGACTGGGGTTGACCCTGTGTCAGATAAAGCGTTAACATCAGCTCCATACTTTAATAGAATTCTCACAACACTAGAGTTAAACAAACAAATTCAACTAATTGATAAAAATGGTATTTTCAAACAAAGCACATAAAGTATAATTTATAAATGAAACTGTGTGAAGTTGTTTATATTTCATTTTTATCTTTTAATTTTTCTCTTAAACAAGGGAACCGATTACTCGCCTCCAATCCTAATTTTAAAATTCCTATATCTTTGCTACCTGACAGTGTAAACGTTTGACAATTTTATCTCTTAGAATTTATGTTGATCAAATGTCTAAAATCAAAAACTCCACAATAGTAAAAAAAATGATTTTAAGATTGAATTTATTTATTCCTGCTGCGTCCAGAAACTGCAGCACACCATAATGGGGTCACACTATGGTTTACACCTTCATCACGAACCTGTAAATATAAGCTTAAAGATTCAATTTAAAAAACTTTACTTTTACGCTTCCAACTATTATAATATGTTGTCTAAACCCGCCAGGTAAACCAAAACATGATGATATTCAATTGACGATCTAATATCAAGTGACCATCCATCAAAAAAAGTTAAATGCCCGAGTTACAACGGTACCCTTTAAACCTTTGACTGATCTTCAAGTGCAGAAAACTTCGCATGTTTATCTCTAAAATGGTGTTCCAATTGCAGGAAAGCTGAAGTGTACAATATTGTACTGTGAAACCAATGCAGCTAACGTGTTTTGAAAAAATTCAAATATAAAAATTTATTAATTATCTGCGAAATCTGTGACTGTCTAATACGTATTGATATTTCTTATAAGTATAATACAGCTTGAAACAAAGTGTTTACCAGGAACAAGAGTTTCTTTAGATAAATAATGATGAGTCAGTCATCGTTGTTCAGTCAAGGGTTTAATGAGTACTGTAGGGAATAGAGCATGCCACTCTACAAATAAAGGGATACTTAGAATTACGCCTATGTCCAATTGATCAGCTTTCTAAGCTGCTTAAAGATAATCTTGCAAATTTTTAGAAAGAAGAGACAAAAAAGTGTAAACACAAAAACTCTGTTACCTCAAAAAGTCCTTTTTGCTCTACCGGGGCACTACATCTAGTGAGAAGATATTCAACTACTTCTGCAGAACCATTCTTACAAGCCAGGAACAGAGGGGCACAACCATCCACTGTTTTACTGTATATACAGTGTAGATACATTGTACACTTTCATATTTTTTAATAATTAACATTTTTATTCTTTAAAATAATAACGTAAATTACTTCAAAAGCAAAAAGAAACTTTTTTCTACTTTGTAGAATTTTCATAAAACTGATCCTAGATTACATTAAATTTACATATTTAAATCTAGTACACAAAGTTTACCACTTCCTTTTAAATTTAACAGGCAAGCGCGCAGCAATTGAAATGGTTCAGCTGAATCTATAGACGTTAAACTACTTCTCATAAATGATAAACATATATTATATTTTCACATTTTTTTACCTAACAACATCCTGTCTGTCCTCTTTGCAAAAACTTTCGATTTTACGCCTGTAATAAATAAAAATAATAATTTACTATTTTTTATATTTAGAAAAAAATTCAGGTTTAACCTTAAAGTATTTGAGAGACGGGAACCAGGAGATGAGAGTTGACATTCCTTTAATCAATCAATCAATTAGAGACAAGAACTTATAATGGAGAGATTTAGTTGAACCATATACGGCTTGTTGAACTGCATTATCTCGCATGCCAAAAAAATTGAGTCGTGGCCACAAACTCTAATGTTTTTGCAACCCAATGTCGTAGACCTTAGATAATTAAAATTATGAATTCTAAGATAAAAAATCCAAGTTTAAAATATCAAAGGTTTCCACAATTAGGTTGAAAAGATATAGAGATGAGAAAAGTTAAGTTGTGTGCAAAGGCTCAATTAAATTGCTTTTAAGTTCCATATTGCACCTTTTTCTTAGACAAGTGATTAATCAAATTCATTGATTCAAATTAATGAATTAATGTAATAATGTAATTTAAAACTTAGAACAAATCAAACTAATATCGTATTTAGATGGATTTTAGTGCATGGATAGTTTTCTTGATTAATTGATTAATTGATTAATTGATAGATATGTTTCCTGTATAAGTGATGTATATAAATGCTGCTTCTGCCCCGTCTTGTCCGTGTACCCTGTACAATTTATACTATGTACTATGTACTATATCGTTTGTAATTAAGTTCACAAATATGCAACAATTCATGAACCTGAAATTTAACCCTATCCCTGCTGGGGTACTTGAAAACCAGGATACGCTGGGGGGGGGGGTCAATTTGACCCCCCCCCCCTCTAAATCCCATGTTTTATGTCCAAATATGACAAATGATATATCATTAGAAAGCTCTTGTGCTCTACTTTTAGAATCTGCAAAAAAATTTGCAAATTTGCGAAAATTGAATTTTTTATCGCAAAATCCAGTTTTATAGTAAAAATGTTTGCAAAAAAAAATTTGTCCAAAAAAAGACAAATTATACATTTTTGAAAAGCCCTTGACCATGCCATTTCAAATATGCAAAAAATTTTGCAAAATTTTAAATAACCTGATTTTTAATCAAGAAAAACTAAAAATGTGCAAATTTCCTTTGACAGGTTGTTTGCAAAAAATTTGCAATTTTTTTTTTCGCAAAACTTGTGCAATCCGTTTCCTTATGTCATAGGCTTTCCAAAAAGCTAAATTTTATCAAAATCTGACAAGTGAAAGTGGGTCAAAACAAAGATTTAGTTTGCTACAGGCAAAAGCAGTCATTCAGGCAGTGTGCCTGAGGACTCAGGCAGTAGTATTAAAGCCCGGTTTTAGGCCTACAGGGAGGGCTTCGGGTATGTAAGAAAAGTCAGAAAATTTCAACAGTCTCAGACCAATACTTTTTGAGTTATGTAAAAAAAACTACAGGGGGGGGGTCAAATTGACCCCCCCCCAGCAGGAATAGGGTTAAGACAGAGTATCGTCATGAAATCCTGTGTCGGAACACGGGTTTACTGAATGGGACCGCTAGTGAACTAGTTGTATTGTAAATATTAGCAAAGATTGTAGGGAAATCCTATGTAGCCCAGGATAGAGTCATTTATTATTTATTATCAAAGATTGTCATCCATGGTTGGGATTTCTGGGAAGCTCAGGAGAGTCATGCTTAAGAACCGATTTTATATTAAACATGATTGGGATTTCCTGGTAGCCCAGGAGAGTCATGCTTTGGAACCGGTTTTATTGTAAACATTATCAAAGATTGTAAACCATGGGATTTTTGGGAACCCCAGGATAGTCATGCTTGGGAAATCATAGTCTAATAAAAGATGCATTAAAGTATAACAGGATTTAGTTGGTTTACACTTTCCTGAAGACGTATTAGGGCAGCAGTATAACTAATTGTTCTGTAAACAGACACTATTTAGTAAACAGTATAATTGCTCAGACCTGTCCCTCCTTCCCTGTTTAGTGATTACTTAATACCTTCTTTTCTTCTTAATACTGTACTCTAATTACTTCACATAAATGTGTAAACAAAACCCATCCCTTTCTCATTAGTTTTATAAGATCAAAATCATGAAATGGCTTCCACAATTTAAAGATGTATCATTCTTAGTTTGAAGGTTAATAATATAATAATACTTTTCATATGTTTAACTCTTTTATTCTCTTATTGATTTTGACATGCTTAGCTTATATATTGATGATAAATGTTACAATAAAGCTTTGTTGTTAGTTTGTTGCCGAAAAATGCACTTGCATAAAATATGTGTGCCAAGCCGGCGTATAGATATACAATATGCATGTATCAGTATATGTAGAGAGTACAAACATTTACAGCTTTCCTTAGTTTCTCATTTTTCCCATGCGTAATATCGAAATGTAGAGATGGGCATTCATTTTTGGATTGTTTTTAAACATTCAAGAAGTTTTGAATTTTATCAAGCTCTCCTAGAATCTGAGATGATTATAATTCCTTCAAAATTATGTTCTCTACAAGTTCCATTTTATAAAAAATGTGAAAAAAATATTTGCCAAACAAAACAGAACAATTTTCCATAACGACTTTTAACCATTTTTATTTTTCGTTTTGGCCTTATATCATTAGAGTAAACATGTTACACAAATTAATAAAAAAAATTTTTGAGCATCTTAGATTCTTGTGAAGCCTCTTAAAAGTTTATTTTCAAAAATGAAATTTAAAAAAAAACCGAAAAGGATGCCCCTCTCTACTAGCGTACAATTCCACTAAATTAGATTTATCTTTATTATTGTTTTTGGTCTATGTACGATGTACGTCATGTACGCCAACTATTTCTTATTTTCCTAGTTAAAGGTAAAAGATTTTTAAAACAGTAATAAACGCAGTCAAAGTTTTTTACACGACTTCAATTTTCTTCTATGTATTTATTTATCTATGACTGTATCCATCTATCTGAATATCTATCTGTTTACTCTCTGCAACTTTCTATCTTAGTAGGTCAAAGTTTTGCAAATGTACGCAACCAATTTATCAACGTCTAATCCTTACTGCTACTGCTAATAAACATAGTTACTGCTACTGCTAAATTTTAAGCTCTTACAACTGCTAATATTATAGTTATTGCCACTGTTACTACTACTATTGTTAATTCTACATTAACTGCTACTGAACATTATACTGCTACTAATACTGCTACTAATACTGCTACTGCTACTAGTACTGCTACTAATACTGCTACTGCTGCTGCTACAAACACTGCTACTGCTACTGCAAATTATAGTGCTACTGCTGCTACTGCTACTGCTACTGCTACTGCTACTGACCTGTTATCAACATAGTGTCACACTTTCACCATTACACTACAATCTTTTGATTGAACAAAATAACAAAATATTTTTTAATGAAATGAATTTTTAACAGATTGAAGGTATCATTAATAAAGTGAAAATGCATCAAATATCTGTACATTATATTCTGTTATTTTGTTGATGTTTCACCTTTGAAAATCTACATAAACTGAACCCAGTTAATCGACCCGCTAGCTTAGTTTACCGGCACGCTAGTGAAAGTTCCGGGTTCGTCAACACTTTTTGCGAAGTTTCTTTCTTCTGTTTATACTGGTGAATAAAAAGTATATGGGACAAGGAGATAAATCTTTAAACTAGAAATCAGATAATTTGAATTTTGATGAAAGGTAACAGTTAGAAGAGGGAGATATTTAGAGGAAAATTAATTAATGAAAGCGAAATCTCACGAGAAACATAGAGAAATATTAGAGGAAAATTGATTAATGAAAGCGAAATCTCACGAGAAACATAGAGAAATATTAGAGAAAAATTGATTAATGAAAGCGAAATCTCACGAGAAACATAGAGAAATATTAGAGGAAAATTGATTAATGAAAGCGAAATCTCAGGAGAAACATAGAGAAATATTAGAGGAAAATTAATTAATGAAAGCGAAATCTCACGAGAAACATAGAGAAATATTAGAGGAAAATTGATTAATGAAAGCGAAATCTCTGGAGAAACATAGAGAAATATTAGAGGAAAATTGATTAATGAAAGCGAAATCTCACGAGAAACATAGAGAAATATTAGAGGAAAATTGATTAATGAAAGCGAAATCTCAGGAGAAACATAGAGAAATAAGAGAATCTTTGACTCTAGGTAAGGTAACAATGTAATGAACTTTAAAAGAAGATTTTTTTACAAAATACCCCCCCCCCCGTCCTTATTACCACCCTGAGATAAAGAAATGTTCGCCTCTAATGAAGAAAGGGTGAAATAAAAGCCAAGCTAAAATGAAGGTATTCAAGGTCATATTCTGATTTTCTTGTTTTCCTTTGAACAAAGGCACTAATCCGTCTCAATATATGCGCTGTATTTAGAGTTTAACCTTCAGGCTTAAATTCATCTTAACTCAGGGAAATCCCAGGGTATGATAAGTCTCATGGGAAAAAATAGGATATCAACAGTTTTTAACATTTGTAAAAAAATTTTATCACTTTTCAAAATTAACTTGAGTTTTAAGAATATATTTGAATGGATTAAATTTGAATAAAAAATCAACTGAGCAAATATATTTACAACTTTGTTTCTTTGATCTCGGAGTTTACCTGAAATGAAATGTTTTACGTTCTAAAAAGGATTAAGCTTGTACTTCATATAAACTTACCGTACTTACCTAGAAAATTGCCTTTTTGGTTAGATATTCCGACTTTTTTAATGGTTTGTTGCTTTAAAATTACTCTTTAACAGAATAAAAGCATAAAAATTAGGTATTGAAACCGATTTGGGAAGACGACAGAGCTTTTGGGTCATTTGTAATTCATGTCAAACAGTTTTAGGAAATTTTTTGTAAGTTTAAAATGTTCCTATTTTTTTTTGGACCGGCCAGTGTAATTTCTATATTTACCCTTAGAGTTACAAAGTTCAATCTTAATTTTTCAAATTTTCAAATAAAAAGTGACCTTTGCTGAGAATTAGGTAAGGAAAAGCTTGCTAAAAACATGAACTATTAATGAAGGACCCCCCCTCTCTCGACCTAGAATATAGAGATAATTTTCACGTTACAAACTCGTATAAATAAAAACAATAATTATAGGCATTCTTCAATTATAGTTCTGTTACTTTGTGAATAATAACAACCTTGTAAAATTATGCATATAAATATTGAATAATCAAAAATTCGTCAACATTTAACATTTAACATTAAAATAAAAACTTGCAGATTTTCTGATTTTTCTTGTTGAATCTTCAGGAATTTGTATTTCTCCAGGAGGAACTTTTTACATTTGTATTTCTTTAGGAGGAACTTTTTACATTTGTATGTATTTCTTCAGGAGGAACTTTTTTCATTTGTATTTCTTTAAGAGGAACTTTTTTCATTTGTATTTCTTTAAGAGGAACTTTTCTCATTTGTATTTCTTTAAGAGGAACTTTTTCATTTGTATTTCTTTAAGAGGAACTTTTTTCATTTGTATTTCTTTAAGAGGAACTTATTTCATTTGTATTTCTTTAAGAAGAACTTTTTCCCCCTTGCCATGTTGGACTTTTTAAATTTTAATGCCTCTAGTCCACACACGAGAAGTTTTGCCAGGAGTTGGTTCAGCACAAAGGAGTATGGAATATAAGGGAGATGGACACGACGCGGCCCGCCCTACCATATGATTATACATGCTGTGCAGACGGTATTTCATTTGAATAAGAAATAGCGCGTACATATATTCATGGAATAGGTTAAATTGTACATATACATTAAATAGGGGAAAATTAGACTGAATTATGCAAACAAATACATTTTTGGAATGCAAAATTATTAGCATTTTTTATAATATAAAAAATTGGTTTTATCTAATATGGTTATAGTTAAAAACCACATTTAAAAACTAGAATACGACCTTTTAAAACTCTTTTACAAAAGCTACAAAGCTGGGTGTTTTTCTTCTCCCTTATTTCCATACTCCTTGGTTAATCCGTTTCGGCGTTTATGAAAACACACCTTTTCGGCTTATTATTGAGTTACATTTTTAAAATGAGTAATGTTTGTCATTGACAATGATATATATATATACGCCATACATAAATTTTAGAAAAGGAAAAAAAAAGTATTAAGGATTTTGTACAGGTGAACACAATATGTTTATTGAATGAAAAACAGAGACTTTATAATTTAGAGTTCCCTTTCGTTGAAATGAATGGGTTTCGATGTTTTGGACATTTAATTCTGATTTTGTTTCCGTAGTTTGATGTTCTCCAAGCAGGGTCTTCTACTAGATTATTCCACAGGTTTACTCCCAGCTAAAATATCATATATTATGAACCCTTGAACTTGAACCGGTGCAAAGAGAGAAGTGTTTGAACTAAGTCTACTTAGTTCAAATATACTTCTACTTGTCATTAAATTTCCTCACTGATCGAATCCAACATAAAGGAACTAAACGCTCGTCACAAAGTTTCTAATCCCTATTTTTGTGCAACTTAATGTCGTAGACCTTTAATAGAATAATTTAAGGCTGAAATATCAAAAGTATACATTATCATGGTTGCAAAAATAGAGGGAATTGCAAATAAGAGTTTGTTGCGAGTTCTCAGTACATTTAATGATACAGCTGATACAGTTGCCTGATACAGCTGATACAGATGATACAGCTGATACAGTTGCCTTCCTTGATACAGCTGGTACAGTTGATACAACTGATACAGTTGATACAACTGATACAGTTGATACAACTGATACAGTTGATACAACTGATACAGTTGATACAACTGATACAGTACAGTTGATACAACTGATACAGTTGATACAACTGATACAGTTGATACAACTGATACAGTTGATACAACTGATACAGTTGATACAACTGATACAGCTAATACAGTTTTCTGATACGGCTGATACAACTTATATAGTGGATACAATTCCCTGATGCAGCTGATACAAATTTTACAGTCTCCTGATACAGCTGATACAACTGAAACAGTAGATACTGTTGCATAATACAATTGATACAGCTGATACAACTGTAGCAGTTGAAACAATTGTATAATACAACTGATACTGTTGACACAGCTGTTGCAGTTGATACAATTTTATGAAACTGATATAGTTGATACGGTTGATACAACTGATACAACTGATACAGTGGATACAGGTTATACAACTGATACAGTTGATACAGGTGATACAGTTGATACAGTTGATACAACTGATATAGTTAATACAGTTGATGCAACTGATACAACTGATACAACTGATACAACTGATACAACTGATACAGTGGATACAGGTTATACAACTGATACAGTTGATACAGTTCATATAGATTCAGCCTGCTTATAAACAGTCTCATCAATTTTTAAGACAGGGTTGACTTTAAAGTGTCGCAACACCCTGAGAGTAGATTTTACCGCTCTAACTCACTTATGCTTTTCTGTAGCCCTTTACATGTACATTTTAGCACTGTAAAGCACTTGTTGTTAGCTTTTGCTTTTTAGAAGATATAAGCAAAATTCTTAACAATTTAAGCTTGAGAGCGTGAGACTATCAAATCGCAGTGAGCTAGTTGATACAACAGATATAGTTAATACTGGTGATACAACTGATACAGTTGATACAGGTGATACAACTGATACAGATGATACAAATGATACAGGTGATACAACGGATACATATGATACAGTCTCCTGAACATCTATTAATTTTGAATTCATTTACTTGGTTTTGTGTTGCTTTATTATAATGCAGACAGTCTAAGGCAAACATATTCTGGGACACCTAAACAATAATGTTTTTTACTTTGGGACACCTCGGACACCTAAACAATAATGTTTTTTATTTTGGGACATTTTTTTTCTTTGGGACAACTAAATTATGATGTTTTTTACTTTTAAAATCTGGGGGACAGATTGCAAGTTTTAATCTCGTCACTTTTGTTTAAAAAAGGTGTGTGGAAAGTAAACTTTTTAAAAGTTTTATATTCTTCATAAATAAATTAATAACCCCTTCCCCTATCCCGTTTATGCAAATTGAGTTATAATAAACCAACCCTGTTTAGTAGATTAGTAGCGGCAGGAACATAGTCTATAATAAACCAACCCTGTTTAGTAGATTAGTAGCGGCAGGAACATATTCTACAGTAAAATCTGCTCTCTGAAACCTGTACAATAAGCATATAATATAGAGCATTGACAAATATAATCTTATATATTCTACTTATACAGGGTGTCACAATAAACATGGGAATTCAGAGACGACTTTTTATTTCGTCTTCAATCCATGCTAGAATATCTAATATCGAAAACGCCTGGTCTTGACATTTTCAAAATGTGGTCTACTATTTTTGTATCATTAAAATTGACAATTGGAAAATTTGTACAAAATTTTAATTTATTTAATAAATCAAACTTGACTTAACATCTAACATCTCTGTCAATTTTTAAGATACAAAAATGTGGACCACTTATAAAAAGCTCGTTTTTATACTTTCTTTGCGAAAATTTAAATATCAGAAATCAAAGACGCGGCTTTGAAGTCGTCTCTTAATTCCCATGTTTATGTATTTTTTGGAACCATTGAGCACAGACAAATATAATCTAATATATATATATTTATATATATATATTTATGTATACGTATATATCCTTTCTTTGGAACCATGGAACGTTGAGAATAAATCTGAGATAATTTAGATAATTTAGATAATTGTAAAGGTATTTATTTACTTTAATTAAAATGTTTTTAAATATGTTTACCTTGGGCTGTGTGCAATATTCTTCAAAACATTATTAAACGAATATACCAACCATCTAATAATAATATTTTCAATATTCTTCAAAACATGATTAAACGAATATACCAACCAGCTAATAATAATATTTTCAATACAAATCTAAAATGGATATTAATAAAATAAATATTACTTGAATCTATTGACTGTATTACTAGATAGACAACTGCAAAGAACTGATAAATATGTTGCACAATGTAAACTTCGATCTTTTAAAACCTGAAAAAGAAAAATTTAAATATAAAATTTTTAGTCCGACAAATCATGAAAATTGTTATTATAAATATCAAAGCCAAATAAATTAATCAAAATACTTAGCCTATGATGACGACAAGATACTCTTAAAGACAGCTGTTTGCCTTAAATGTAGTCTTAGAAAGGTATTGTAACAGTGGGCGAGTTTTGTTGATCTTTTACGATCAGCAATTCAAGGAAAGCTAGGGTTAAATGCGATCCTAGGATGGAGCAAAATCGAAGGAGGAGAGTTAGTTGAAGACCAGCTCCCTATTTGTTAGGTTCCCTTGAAGAATTCTCCTATTTGATGAAACTGATTTGATTCATAATATTTAGTTTGTATAAGTATCGTTCGATTTAGAGTTTGTATTTTTTGTATCTTTTGTATATAAATATATCGTAAGAAAAACCGACTCGTAGAATATTTGAGAAACTCAGTGCATTGCTTTATTGATTTTTATTCATATACAATAGTATCTTGATTAATTCAACAAAGAAAAAAATTAATGTTTCATCTGAACCAAAATATAGCAAAGAGACTAAATTAATATCCTATAGTCGTCTTTGAAATCTCATTGTTTGCGGGTATTCTTGTATAGTAATAAAATCTATTGATAATTCGTCCTAGAATTCATGTCAAGTAAATCGTCTGTTTTTATAGAGGGATAATCAGAAAACAATGGAATAGGAAAACGATATTATACCAATAATGAAGAGTATTTGATGTTGTTACAAATTAAATAGGTTTATATAATTAATAAATCACTAATTTAGTGATATGGGTCTGTTTACATAATACAATTGCTGTGTTACCTTATGCTTATTGGACTTTTAAAAGTTAAACTCGATTCTAAAAGTCTCCTTTTTCAGAGTTTTCTGGTCATCATTGTATTTTAAAAATACCAATAATTACTTGAACATACATTGCACTAAAATCTCATTTAGGTGAAAATAGGTTAGTTTTTTCTTGTTTAACCTGTAGCCTCGAGAAATCTGGATTCCCGACTAGGACGACAATTGTTCTCGGCATTAAGGAGAGAATTTCTAGTCCTAACTCTAGATTTCTTCTGAAGTAATATAAAATCAATAAGAAAAAAAAATTTTTAAAAGCACTTTTCATCTTTCATTTGAAAAAATAACTATAGAACTTGAATTGATGGAAACATTTTTTTATTTGCAGAAGGGATCAGTCAGTCACAACTCACAGCTGAATACCACTGAAAAACATGATTTTCACTTTAAAGGTGGGGGGGGGGGGGTTCAAGTCCATCATAGCCCACACTGTATAGTTTTATAAGTAAAGTTAATTCAAAATTGTTTTATTTTTCCTGTATGAATATGCTGAGGCCACATTATCTAACCTCAAAGACAAGTTACTACACATTCATATTAAACTGCTTATTAAAGGTGTAAAAAGAAAATATTTAAATTTTTTTCTTCAATTTTTTGGAAGATTTCATGCTACTCAATTCAGAGCTTTATAATTTTTGTTCCATGCAACACAACTCTTATTTTGATTTTTCATGAGCCTTTAAATTTGTGCAATATTTGGCTTTTCAAAAATGTGTGCACTGTGCATTCAAATAATTTCCAGTAACTTTTCAGTCTCCGTTTATATACGATGAGTGGCATATCCGGCTCACAAGTCACAACGATACCCTTATAAACCCCTGTCTTATAAAAATGCAGATATCTACATATAATCTGTTATTTGAAAACTGTTTGTTTTTATTTGTGGGTTATATACTATATTAGTGAAAGATAAAATTGATCATATAAATGTTAAAAGGAATCGCTGAATAATGAATACGCCTCTTTAAATGGAATTTTTGTGAAACGAGTTTTCGAAAAATATGAAAAATATGCAATGATGAAAAAATTGTGTTGTTGTTTTCTAAAATGTGTAATTGTTTTCTTAAAATGTGCAATTGTTTTCTAAAATTGTGTGATTGTTTTCTAAAAATGTGTAATTGTTTTCTAATAATGTGTAATTGTTTTCTTAAAATGTGTAATTGTTTTCTAAAAATGTGTGATTGTTTTCTAACAATGTGTAATTGTTTTCTAAAAATGTGTAATTGTTTTCTAAAAATGTGTTATTGTTTTCTAAAAATGTGTAATTGTTTTCTTAAAATGTGTAATTGTTTTGTAATAATGTGCAATTGTTTTCTTAAAATATGTAATTTTTTCTAAAAATGTGTAATTGTTTTCCTGTAAATATTCCCTGACAGGATCCAGAGCAAATATCATTGGAACCAATATATACCGTCACAATCTTCCACTTCCACTCCCAACCAGGGATATCTCTAGGATATATACAGGTTAAATCAGAGATATCTCTAGGATAAATACAGGTTAAACCAGGGATATCTCTAGGATATACAGGTTAAACCAGGGATATCTCTAGGATATATACAGGTTTACCAGGGATATCTCTAGGATATACAGGTTAAACTAGGGATATCTCTAGGATATACAGGTTAAACCAGGGATATCTCTAGGATATACAGGTTAAACTAGGGATATCTCTAGGATATACAGGTTAAACCAGGGATATCTCTAGGATATACAGGTTAAACCAGGGATATCTCTAGGATATACAGGTTAAACCAGGGTTATCTCTAGAAAATATACAGGTTAAACCAGGGATATCTCTAGGATAAATGCAGGTTAAACCAGGGATATCTCTAGGATATACAGGTTAAACCAGGGATATCTCTAGTAGGAAATATACAGGTTTACCAGGGATATCTCTAGGATATATACAGTTAAACCAGGGATATTTCTGGGAAATTCAGGCTAAAAGTTAAAAAATTTCAAAGGGAGGGTTCGAAAAAAAAGAATAAAGTAAAAAAAAAAAAATTTAATAATGAATCGATCGTTGATATTTTCATTAATACCCGAATTTTCTGTAAACTAAATTTCATTTTCTCAGTGAGAACCAAAATTTCAGTAAAAACCTGTCAAATCTCTCTATAGCAAGAGTCCTACACAAGTTAAACTCCTTCGGATTAAGGTTTAAACTCAGGTATCTTCGTAGAAACCAGTGCTAAGGATCCGGATCTGGATCCGTTGGATCCGCATCATTTTGGCTTCATGGATCCGGTTCCGTGTATGTGTTTTGCTCTCAAAACATAAATCACAGTTAATAACTAAAAAATGATCCAGATCCGGATCCGCAACAAAATTGAATAGATCCTAAGCACTGAAAGAAACAACGGATTGAAATAAAAGTATTTTGCATTAAAGGGAGTGACCGGATTCATTTTAGACATATGAAACTTTTTTATATGTCTCAAATGAATCCAAAAGAAGTTTTCCACAACACTGCATACTCAGTTCAACTACCTTATATAGCCTTTAAATACAAAAAAAAATTATTGCATGCATCAGTAAACCATGAGTTAAGAAAGTAGACTAAATTAACAATGACACAATTCAAAAATAATTAAAAAAAATGGAACAAACATTTACACAATTTTATCTACAAGAACTCTAGCTTGCTCTGGGATAGCGGAGGAGAATGCTCCGCTCACTGCTACATTTAATCCTAGATCAAACCCAGGTAGGATCCCATCAGATTCTCCGCTACCTCCGATCAATCTGAGGAAAAAAAATATATTTGTCAACTTTTAAAATAACACAGATTATTAAAGGAATTGAATCTTTCCCACAAACAGAGATTTTCTAATATCATACCTTTGATCATAATGTCGCAGACCTTAGATATTTCAAATAATGAATTCTGTTATCAAATTATCTAAATTTGAAATATCAAATGTTTACACTATCAGGTTAATAAGATATATGAATTAGAAAATTTAAGCTTTTGGCAAAGACTCATTTCCTTTGTATCAAATTTCATATATCTATATATATATATATAAAGTAGTAATCTCTGTTTGTCTGTCTGTTTGGGTGTCGGATCAAATCTCATGAGCCCCTGGGCCGATTTAATATTTTTTAGTTTGGTTTGAAAATGATTAAGATCTCTTAGTCTTAAATATTTTCAAAAAATGTATAAAAGAACTGATTACTTGTCACAAACATTAATTTATAAATCCTTTCAACTTTACAATAGAAGAAGAATACTATATATTGAGAGTGAGAAGTAATCAGTTTCTTTATTGTCTCCTTCTAATAAAGTATACCTGGGATTAAATTGGCGAAGAATATTGGCAAAAGTAGGATTTGCGGCAAAGTTTGCATCAACTCCAGTAGCGTAGGATACTCCAGGATACTCATTCATATAATCTCATCAGTTTTATAACATTTACAGTGCTAGTTTTTCCCAAGTGTTCTGAGGTTACGATCAAATGTCGTCTTTGAGATTATGTTATCGGAATAATATCTTTAATTTGCTTGTTCCTGCCATCCGGACTGCATCTCTCCCCCATTTAAAAAAAACCAACACACATGAATGTGACCTCTACTCTTTAGATTGCTTTCGGAACAAAAGTGAGAACCTGATTGTAAATGCTATAAACCTAGAAGACTGTTAGACCTGGCAGCAAAGGCAGCTGTATCTGAATCCCCGAGAGCTCCAATTATATCTATGTCACTAGGCCTCAAATACGACGAATTGCATGTCTTTAGGATTATTGATTTATTGATTTATACAAAAAATTGACCTGCTTAAAAAATTGACTAACAGTTTCTGAATTTAAACATTCTTAAAAATAATATTTAAGATATTTTTGCGCATTTATTCATATTTCCTTTCACCTTACTAAATTAACATTCTTGGGCTTTACTTTTGATCTTTCCGCCTAAATATTAATTAATAACTTATCATTTTATTTATATATGTATATATATGTATCAATTAATATTTGAAAATTAATAAAAAATGAACCAGTTGCTTACAATACTATAAAAATAAAATATTGTTTTTGATTTGTAATTGGAAAGTTTTAGACTTTTTATAAATGTATTGAAAAAGAGAACCTTGCAAGGAAATCTAACTGGTAGAAGATAGTCTGTGTTCACAAACCCAAACCAAGAGAAGAGAAAACAAAACAAAATCTCTAAGAAAATATTTAAGAAGTCGTTGAAGCAGTAAGCCTAAAATGTAGAACGAAGTTACCAGAAAAATGCACAAAGAAGTTACCAAAAAATGCATAAAGAAGTTACCAAAAAATGTATAAAGAAGTTACCAGAAATTGCATAAAGAAGTTACTAGAAAATGCATATAGAAGTTACTAGAAAATGCATATAGAAGTTACTAGAAAATGCATATAGAAGTTACTAGAAAAATGTATAAAGAATTTACTAGAAAATGCATAAAGAAGTTACTAGAAAATGCATATAGAAGTTACTAGAAAATGCATATAGAAGTTACTAGAAAAATACATAAAGAAGTTACCAGAAATTGCATTAAGAAGTTACTAGAAAAACCCATAAAGAAGTTACCAGAAATTGCTAAAACAAGTTACCAGAAATTGCATAAAGAAGTTACCAGAAAATGGATGAAGAAGTTACCAGAACAATACGGAATAAATTGTCATCTTCGTTCTTTCTTTTAATTTAAAATGTCTTTGTTATTTTCAATTTTGAAATAATAACAACAGATATCAAAATGTTCAGAAATATGACTTATACAAAACAAAATCTTCAACGACATTTTATAATATAAAGAAATAAAGAATACAGCAATGATTCCACTGTTTTCTGGATTCCTCTGTAATTACCTGTGTGTTTTCTCATATCAATGCTTAACTTTAAAATCTGAAATAAATCTTTAAACCAATCAACAATTTTAACGTATGTTTCAAATATTTTAGTAAAGAATTTTTCCGAAAAAAAATGAATGAACTTCGCAAAATCTATCTCGTGACGCCTCTGGTCTTCTTTTGACGCATTTTCCTTGAAACTAAACTCTTTTTGTTTAAACTCAAATTTCAACCGAAAATTTTTTTTAAATTTCCCTCCTTAAAATATGCAGGGTTACCCACAAAGGAAGAGACTTAAGAGACGCCTGTCCGGAATTCAGGCAAATTTTTTTTCTGACAATCTTGATTCTCTTGAAACTTGTTGTTTTCTGACAATCTTGATTGTCTTGAAACTTGTTGTTTTCTGACAATCTTGATTCCCTTGAAACTTGTTGTTTTCTGACAATCTTGATTCTCTTGAAACTTGTTGTTTTCTGACAATCTTGATTCTCTTGAAACTTGTTGTTTTCTTTGCTAAAAATAAGGCTATATTTTAGGCAACAGAACAAAGTCAACCAATAGATCGCTAAATTAATAATTCTTAGGTCGCCATTGAAGTGTAACCCCTGTAGTTCCCTATCACGTTAAACTTGCTTCTTTCGTTGCCAACCCTATTAATATACAATTGAAAACGGATGTACGGCATGAAATCAAATAAAAGTTTTAAATAAATTTATATATAGAGTCACCACTCATGCTTTGTGTTCAGCCCTGCATGTAAAGAATATTAGAAATGCAAGTTTTACTAACTTTCTATTCAATTTTAAATTCTTGTTGCTAAATAATCTAAGACGACATTAAAATATTAGACGACGATAGTACTTGAATTTCTGCCTACTCTAATACCAATACTTTTCTACGAAGAAAATAAAAAGGTAATTAAAATTTCAAAAATGTTTGAGAACCAAAAAGAATAAAAACATTTTGAGGCATTCAGACTTGATTTAAACTTGATTCCAAAACAAACATTATGTTTGTCCAGACTTGATTTAAACTTGATTTCAAAACAAACATCAAGTTTTCCAGACTTGATTTAAACTTGATATCGAAACAAACATCATGTTTGTCCAGAATTGATTTAAACTTGGTTTCGAAACAAACATCATGTTTGTCCAGACTTGATTTAAACTTGATTTCAAAACAAACATCATGTTTGTCCAGACTTGATTTAAACTTGATTTCGAAACAAACATCATGTTTGTCTATGCATTTTGTTTTCTTTTTCTTTACAGTGGATACAGTGGATACAAATTCTACAGCGGGACTCATAAAACTGGGCAATAGGAAAACGACATTTACGCACTTTTGTTTATTTGATGTTCTTAAGGAAATAATTTTACCAGTATCTGGAAAATCAAAGTGAAAAGAGTCTGTTCACACTGAACAACGGTGGTTCATATTCATTAAGTTATCAAATCAGAACTTAAGTCGTCTTTCTATTCCAAAATTTATGGTTACTGCTGTATCAGTGAAACTTGTGATATTTTAAAGTGTTTTCTAAGGGTGGAGCTGTAATCTACAGCGAACTGCAAATCTTAAATTTTCTCGTTGACATGTTTATATTGTGTGTTTGAGCATCAAATTTCTTTTATTCTCGTTGTTGTAATAATTCGTATTGAATTCGTATCATTGTTAAAATAATATGTAGACCTTTGGTATTTCAAACTATGAATGTTGTTAGATATACGAGGGTTAAACACAAGTTTGTGGCGAGTCTCTAGTTCCTTTGCTACTGCAAATACTGAAATCCATTTTCAGAGTTTGATTAATTTTTGTTTCAGGAACGTCAAATAGATAAAGATGGTAGCACGCGATTAAACGTGTATTAAAAGGGTGTAAAGTGTTTTATGTCTCATCTTTTGAGGGAAACCACGTATTCTATTTTGAGCATTACGCATCAGATAAGAGAAGACCTCGGCTCAATGTTCAAAACACAACTAAACATTTTCTGAACATTTCTGCATTATCATGTTCATACAATACAATACACTACACTGCACTATAAAAATAGAATTTCAGGGACTGTTAAAAAGTTTATTTTTGGCCAAAAAAGATAGAGTGTTAATGATGGAATAGTTTTCGTGTTCGGTTTTTTTTTTTTCGCTAAATACCTCTTAGAAATTGTAATTTGTTATAACTGTGTTATGCATAAAAACAGTAAGGAGAAAAAACCAGGCACAAACAAGAACAAGAGCAACATGTTAAACAAATACGACGATAATATTTCCATTGTTTTATGCTTACCACAGTAACTAAAATATGGATATTAATAAGAGCTATAAGCTGGAGAGGAATGCTATGTATAAGAATGAACATTCTATGAATTATCTCAGTAATAAGAATGAGATTAGGATGAGTATGTAATAAATGAGAATGAAACTAAGATGAGTATGAAACAAGGATAAGTATGTTAAGTATAAAATTAAACTAGGATGAGTATGTTATGTATAAGAATGAAACTAGGATGAGTATGTTCTGTATAAGAATGAAACTGGGATGAGTATGTTATGTGTAAGAATGAAACTAGGATGAATATGTTATGTATAAGAATGAAACTAGGATGAGTATGTTATGTATAAGAATGAAACTAGGATGAGTATGTTATGTATAAGAATGAAACTAGGATGAGTATGTTATGTGTAAGAATGAAACTAGGATGAGTATGTTATGTATAAGAATGAAACTAGGATGAGTATGTTATGTATAAGAATGAAACTAGGATGAGTATGTTATGTATAAGAATGAAACTAGGATGAGTATGTTATGTATAAGAATGAAACTAGCATGAGTATGTTCTAGATTGAGGATAAAAACTAAAAGTACATAAACATTTTGATCGTGATCTAATCGATGATATCTAGAAATCCATGATATAATACATACGAGTATATATATTATATATATCTACTATATATTTATTATTGTATACAAAATATTGAAACTCACCTATGAACTGGGTTTCACAATAGATCTAAGTTAAATAAAAATAAAAATCTAAAAAGAACTCTATATAAGAGAAATGAAATGAATTTAAAAGCGCCGCCAGGATTAAACTAAAAATTTACGCAGACTTTGAAGATTCTGAAAGATAAAAAATGTAAACAATTGAAATAAAAGTATAACTAAGAGTCATATTTTCATTACAGTTATGGATATCCATGTCCGGGCTATATCGGAATAATCTAAGCCATGGTTTAATTGCGAAATCCAAAAGGACACACCGCGAACCTTATAGCCTTAAAAAACAGTACATAGCAGAAAATAATAAAAATCTCATCATTGTAAAATTGAGTAACTGTAAATCCGCTGGGACAGAATACCCCCCTTAGATTTCACTGATCCAAGGGGGGGATTGAGCCGTAACTTACCCCCCAACCCCCATGTATACACCTCTATCACTGATTATCAATAACCGTGGTATCCCAGTCTTGAAAATTGAAACTCTAATTATCTTATGCACGTGTAATCAACACCCATGAGAATCTATAATTATTCAAGGCTTATTATATTATATTTTATTACTATTTATTAAATATTGCGTTCCTCTTTCATCTTTGTACTTTGTACTTCTCCTTTTACCTGCAAACAATAATTATTACAAAACAACACTTTCAGTTTTCGAATTCGAATTTTAAATTTTATATAGATATTACACTTCCGTACTTTCTTCTTTCATTCAATTTGGACGTAATAAATGCATCAATCAATACAATATGATTAAACCTTCTTATTGGAAATATTGTGGAAGTGAATGTAAAATATCCAGGTTTTAACCAGATTGTATTTTCCTGGAACTAAGAATCGTACTTTAAGATTTCGTGATTTCATGCAAATCCTGCAAAATAATGATATGTGTATTATGTACAAAGGCGAGACAATACAAAAAATTGATAAAGATAAAAATTCTTAACATTAATCGTAAGGAATATAACCTTTTATATTTAAGCATTCAAAGGGTGTCCCTCCCTCGTAAACAAGCAACCCAACACATTATGAAAGAAGACATTCTAAATTGTCTTCTTTCATAATTTGTTGGGTTATTTGATCCCAAAGAGAATAATAAAATACAGAAGTAAAATTGATTTCAAAGGAAAAGATATTTGAGTAAAAGATTTCTCTTACCGTTAACGAAATAAACTGCAACTTAAGTAATATCTAATACAGTGGAAAAGACATCCCTGCAAACATTAATAGGCTCCGACAAAATAATGGCGAACTCAAGAAGTCGAGAATTATTTACCCGTCAACTTCGCCATGGGCACATAAATTCGGTAAACTGTTTCCTGGGATTCAAAACTATTCACCAACTGTCATATGTTTCGTGGGACACCCTGTATTTCTAGTAAATATTAGCATTTTTTTGACAAATAAAACATTTTTTTTCTAGAATTTTTTTTATTGAAAGAGGATACACGTCAGCAACATTAAGCTGGAATTGATTTTTACTAACCCTGTATCTCACGTGGCCATGTACGTCAAAGATCTTCCCCCCCCCCCTCCCTCTCTCCCAGCCACCCTGAAACCCCCGTAAAACCTCGGAACTGGATATATCTGGGTTATACCTAGAGTAGACGATATGATGTCTATTGATTTGGGGGATAACAGAAATAAAGTTTAAAAAATGCACTTATTTTTGTAAATAATTGGACACAATATAAGGGTAGAAATAGGATGTAGACATTCTCTAAACGCTAACGCCGTATTCTCCCTCCTTGTATCTACCTATCACGAGTATAAGATCTCTTCGTACACCTTTCCGTCCTCAGCTGACTTTTCTCTCTCGGTAGCCAATATATATTCTCAGTCGAGAAGTGAACTCGTGAGAGTACTGCACTGCTGGCACTGCTGGAAGTGAACACAAAGAGTCACATTAAACCCGTTTGTTCACTATTTGTAAATGGTAAGTTTATAATTTTCAAATTAGATTACATTTTTTTACTTTTCCTTCTCTTGGTCTAATTTTAAGGTTTGATTTTGCTCAGTTTCCTACATACAAATAGTTGTTTAAAAAA